ACAGTCATTTATACAGTCTCATATAGAGTCATACATACAGTCATAGAGTAATATATACAGTCTTATATAGAGTCACATATACAGTCTTATATACAGTCAAATATAGTCATATATACAGTTATATACAGTCATATAAACAGTCATATATAGACATATATACAGTAGAGTAACATATAGAGTCATATATACAGTTATGTATACATATACAGAGTCTATGGTCCAAACTGATTTGTGTTTTTTCCTCCTCCCTTCGGCTGCAGCCTCTTGCTTTTGTGGACAATCCAGGAGAGGATTTCGTCATCTTAAACACACATAATGGCTGCTCATGAGGGAAAAAGACAGAAAATAAAACCCACCGTGAACTGAAAAACATTGTGGATTTCTGCAGAATCAAAGAGTGAAGCACGTTTATCTGATGAGATTGTGTCATTTAGTTTGTAAATCAAAGGTGACCAATGAGATCCTTCATTTGTCACTGAGATAAATGAATCTGATTGGACAATCATGTTTAGTCAGACTCGAGACGTTATGGAGCTCATAACTTTATTTCAGAAACATTATGACTGTTACGTTATTAAAGCATTTCTAGGAATCTTTTATTTTAAATGTGCTTTTTGGACTTAGAACAACTGTGTTATGTTATTAGTTAACAAATCACAGGTTAACTTCTGTGATGCCTTTAAACTTTTGAATTTTTAAAAAAAATCTATGGGAAAAATGAATGAGAAAATTGACTTTGGGAACCAGACTGGGCGATCACTGCTGAGCTCCATGGAGGCCGTGGGACTGGACTGATATCTCTCTGTGTAAATACATTTTGCAAGTTTCTTTACAAAAGCATTACAAAGAATTACACCACATAGATTAAAGAAAAAAAAAAGTTTGGAGCTGTCAACAAAGGTCGTGAAATCAAACGGTGGTGCACTTAAAGCTGTATTGAGCGATAAGAGCCACTTTAGCTGTTATCTTTTACGAGCTTAAGTCATAAAAGTGGTTTATCACGAGTGTCACGCACTGTCAACAAACACTCCAACAGAAAGTGCATGGGCTCAAAGTGCACCTAAACACTCAACTACTCTTCTCTGAAAGTGCCCATGACAGTTTCGACTACTCATTTTGTTAAAACACACTTAAACTTCACTTAAGTTACACAATGTACCTTTAACATCATTATTTTCAAGATTTCGCAAAAAAATTTGAGCATTTTCTCCAGGTTTGGCAATATTTTTAGGCTTAAAATTTTAGTTCCTCTATTTCAATTTCATTTCAGCAACAAGGTCAGGAATCAGAATACACTAGACGGTTTGCAAAAACTCCGGAAGTGCGAGTTCGGGCACCAACCAAACAGCGAAGAGCCATACATTCTGTGTTGTCAACGATTCAGGAGATCGAGGATTTAAAGCCAGAACCAAGAGAATGTTTGGTAAATTTTATCAAGGGGAAAGATGTTATTGTCCTTCTTCTTACGGGATTTGGGAAAAGTTTAATATACCAGTTAGGCCTGTTAGCGTTGCATTACATACATCACAACCAAATAGCAGCGATTGGTTAAATGATAAAAAGTATCTGGCGACTGTCGAGCGAATGAATTCAAGGCTTTGAGTGTCTTGAAGGTGGAAGGTGGTGAATTCTAACACTGCGAGGTCAGATGGTTTCTACAAAATGAAACCGGCTGATGAATGAGGCTATGAAATTGTGACATCACACAAAGGAATTCTGTTACAGTGGGCCACAACTCCTCCGATGAACACAGAAATTGTTATTTGACAAATTATAACACCTTTATTTTGTTGAAATAATCAGAAAAACAAAACAAAACATTGATTAGAATTTTTCTCATCCATGTTTTAGAACTCTCTTCCTGTCATTTGCAACACATTTTTCAACTTTTCTTCACAAACTGCTTCTTAATTTGTGTAAAACTTTTTCATTGGAGGTCCATCAACTGCTTGTTTCCATGGAGATGTCATTGCTCTGTTTAGAATGTTCCACAGTATGACATTAAACAGCTCTACTTTGCATTTATTCAATTACAGGTGGGTTAATAGCTCAAAAATATCTAGAAAAAGAGACATTCTGACTATGAGCAGGTTCGCCTCTCCACAGGTCTGACCTGTAACTTGGTCTGGTTTGTCTCCATGAAGATAGAAAGGTTTAATGCCATACTGTGAGACATTCCAGACAAAGCAATAATGTCTCCATGGAGAAAAGCATTTGACCAGAAAAGTTACACAATGCAGCTTTAAGTAGAAATTAGACAACCATCAAAAATAAATCTTCCCAATCTTTTTTCTATTTGTTTTTATTTTGGTGAAGTTTATGACATACATGGAGCTCAGGAAAAAAAGAATAAAATAAAGAATAACTAATAATTTGAATTTAAAGTGATTTGAACAACAAAACAAACCTGGTATTTTCAAAGGACAGACACAAAAATGAGCGAAAAGAAATCATTTGTGTTTCTTGCGCTGCAGAAACGCACATTGGGAAGTTTTACTCAAGAGTACTGTTACTTCAATAAAAATATTACTGAAGCAGGAGTAAAAGTAGGCTGTGTTTACATTGTGCACTCCTATTAAAATCCACTCTTCATTTTGTCCATTTTGAGCAGAGGAAATGTCCAAAAGCTCTTAGTGACCAGATCGACTCACATCACTTCGCTCTAATTCACTTTACTGCCATTTTCAAGGACACGAAACTGAGAAAGGCTGAACCGAGACTCAAATTCCCGTCGCTATCTTTGTTGAGCTTCAAAATATCAGACTTTGGTGAACAAACTGTCCACACAGAGCTACTACAGGAGGTGGACAAGAGGTAATTGTACAGGACAGCTCTTCTTCCATCCTCTTTCTCTGTCAAAGTGGAACTGTTTTAAAATTGGAAACAAAAAGCAACAAATTTAAAAGTAAATTAAAATTATTGTATGTTTCCAACCAAAAATGCTCTCGTTGACAATGTAATAATGCCATGTATTTCTTATCTGTATGTCACTAATGTGTTTTGTCTGTTTTTATGCGTGTAGCCAGTAGTTTCTCTGCTTATAGGTGTTGAAAACTAGCACTCAAAACAATGCATTTGGCTTATCTAATTCAACTGTCATGTCCTTACGATGTTCCATGTTATGCTTTAATCACTTAGCTTTAGTTTATTTCTGTGTTTTTTATGTTATAATATTATAGACAATTGCTTTATTTCTGGTAGTTAGTAATAAACAATTATATATCCAATTACATGTCAGTATTCATTATAAACAGCTATATTGGTCTAAAATGGCTGAATAATTGAAGCTGGTGTATTGATACTTTTCAGCTGATGTCATCAATATTTCCTGTGGATGTGATGCTAACTATAGGCACTGCTCTGTCTGAGGCTTTGTTAGGCTGTAATCTGATCTTTATTTCAACACAATCTGACCAGAAAGACAAGTCTCTCTCAATTAAAATTACAGTCTGAATCTAGCATTCGCCAGCTTTCACCTTTTTGCTGGAAATCAACAAAAGCCTCTGGAAAATGTGCTGTTTAAATCAATTTTGTAATTTTTTTTCAGACAAATTTAAAACTTTTTTGGCAGTGTTTACTAATGTGCACACCTGAACACCTTACCGGGTCAACACTGAGCTACTCTCACCTCACAAACTGTGCCTCCCACTTGTCTCGACCAGGACGGAAAACTGGGAATTTCTTGTCCAATCATCATTAAATGGGCATTTGTGCTTCGGCATGTTGCAGACTGACCAACTGTTTGTGTCTGCTCGCTCCTTCTGAGTGCAGAGAGATACAAGAGACGCTCAATTTAAAGCCCCATGAAAGATAATGAAAACACGGACAGTTGCATCACTTTATGAATTAAAACCCCGGACGCCCAGGACAGGAAACAAAAAACGGACATGTCCGGGGAAAAACGGATGTTTGGTCACCCTGTGTTAACTGATGAATATTCCTCAAAACACATACATGTAGAACACCCCCAGTGTGATGTCACTGCAAAGTATCAACAGATTTCCTGTTCAAAACTGTGGAACTGCTGACCAAACCACCAGGAGAAAACCTCATTTCCTCTGATCTCAGACGCTCAACAGGGCTGGGTCTGGTTAGTGTTTGGATGGGAGACCACTGGCAAAATCAAGAGCCACCGTGGGGTAGCAGTGGGTTTAGCTTTTTGACTCGTTGGCCACAAAGGGTTCTAAAATTTGATGGAAGGGCCAGAAATGGGGCAGATGGATGGAGTTTGTTGGTAATCCACCTCATAAGAGAAAAAAATAACATGGGATATGTAGAAAACATATAAATATAACATATATATATCCCATAATTGAAAATCATTACAAATCATTACAACAAAATATTTGTCTTTCAAGTCCCACGGTATTTACTATTTACTGAAATGACTTTAAAAACACTGAAAATTATTATTGTCATTATTTAAGTTCAGCGAGCAGGATTAAAACAATAGGAGGGCCGCATATGGCCCCCGGGCCATAGTTTGCCCACCCTTGGTCTAGACTCTAGAGCAAACCATTGTTGAGTCCTTAGGCAAGACACTTACCCACAATGCCTAGTGTGAATGTGGTGTGTGCAGGGGTGTAGCACCAAGTTCTGAGCCTTGGATATTAATCATGTTTGTATGTCTAATGAAAAATGCACTTTGTGAGGGCCCCTCCCTGCACTGGGCCCGGGCTGTGGGTGAAAGTGTGAGTGGTGTTGGTCAGAGGGGCTGATGGAGCAGATTGGCAGCCACGCATTTGTCCCACGGCAGCTGAGGCTACAATAGAAGCTTACCACCACAGAGTGTAGAGTGAATGAATACTGCACTGAGGTCTGTCGTGATAATTACTATATCAGCTTATTGTTCAGTACATAACAGATGGAACAATACTTTTGTGAGGTCAATATTTATCATGGGTACTTTTTCTTTGTGCTAGTTTTATTTATTGATTTTTTTGTACGATGATTAAATTTGAGCTGTAGAAGGTTGCACAATGAACTTCTATGACTCATGATAGATACAAAACTTAAGTGTTATTTATTGCGGCTCACATTTTTTAACAATATTGTACATTTAGAATACTTTTGAAATACTTTAGCCTTATGATTTGGGTTCAGTATTATTGTTTATCATCTATTTACTTCAGCAAAATAAATCACACTTCAAAATGTGTCCTCCTGACAGGCCTAAATGCAGTGTCTTGAAATGTGCTTTAAATCCAGATTTTTACAGGATACTAGGAGTGTTACAGTAACTCTGAAAACCACAAATCTAATGGTAAAAATACTAACTGCATACAAGGGATCCAGCTTTTCTGTTCTGATACGATACTATAACTTTAAGTATCTGTCAAATCCTGATATTAACCGACACCAGAGCAGAAACTGAAAACAACATTTATTTCTTTTAGTTTAAACAAAATAAGTCAAAATTTATCCACATGTAATTGTTATTTAAATTGAAGTAACTACAGAGCAGCTTTGTACAGCATCAGTCAGAAGTTTGGACACACTTTTTCATGTATGTTTCTTCTTTATTTTCACGATGATTTACACTGCGATTCTCACTGAAAGAGACCAAAACTATGAATGACACGTGTAGAGTGTAGTCACCCTCTGCTTTCATCGCTGCTTTGCAATTTTGACATTTCTTGACCCGGATGAGGCACAACTGTGAAGTAAAAACCATTTCAGAAGACATCGTCATGAAGCTCATTGAGAGAAGGCCACAGGTTTGTCCACAAAGCAAAGGGTGGAGACTGTGAGGATTTGAACATAAATTACAGTATTAAATATATTTAATTGAGTTTATTTATTTATTTTCTTCCTCACATAATTCCATATATCTTCATAATATATGTGATCTCTTCTGTTTGTATCTAAAATGTAAAAAGTAGTAAAAATAAAGAAAAAACACATGAGAATGAGAAGGTGTGCTCAAACTTTTTACAGGTAGTGTCCAACTAATCAACTGAACTGATATTTGAAATTTCAAGTGTATCAGTGTTGGACGGGTGCATCCATAACTTACTGGTACACTACAGAAAAAACACTATTTGATATTTTTTCCAGATTCGTTCAGCACAAACCCAGGTATGAGTTTGACAAATAAAACAGTAAAAAGCTCCAAGTCCATGTTTGTATTGAGGAGTGTGCAAAGTGCTTCTGTTAGTCCAAGGCGTTTTATATGGTGTTTGCAGAGGCAGGTTCAGACCCGGATCTCGTTCATAAAATCAGCTCTTTGGGTCCCAGAGGAGAGAAGCAGCGGTCCACGTCCTGGTCCGACACCTGGTCCAGAGAACTGGGACTCCAGTGAGGACTCTGGTCTTTATCCACCAGCACTGGGCAGAGAAGGACAGCACATTCAAATGCAATGAGACAGTTGCAAATGCAAGTGACAGTTTGTGAAAAAAGGTGAGAAGAAAAGTACAAAAATACAGGAAGTAGCTCTGAGTTCTTAATCAGAATCCATCTACCTATGTCATCAATTCCATCCACAGTGCAGACAGTTACACAAGAAAAAGGCATTTGTCTTTGCCTAAAAGTGTTACAATCTATTTGTATAAGGCTAATCATAACTATTGTGTAATTTAGACCCTTTTTGGCCTTTATCAACTTGATGGTTGCTAGGTAACAGTTATGAAGTTACTGCTACATGTCATATCTGCTGTCCATATTTGTCCTTTGTGTTTGACCCATCCTTCAGTAGATCTCATTCATAAAACGTTCTTATGAATAAATTTGTACTTAAGTCCTTCTTACGAACATTTTGGCATTCACAAATCTTTTTCTTAACTGAAAATGTTCTTCTGGAAGAACAAATCCTACGAACGGTCAGGACATAAGAACAAAAATTCTACTGTTTTAGAATATTATTACTCTGATAATGGAACTAAAAAATCTAATTCCTCCATGATTGTAAATTATATATTTTCTTAAATTATTTCCTATACCTAGATCTCTATGTGATAAAATAACATTTATGAGGAGTTTTATAGAGCATGTGTTTATTGGGTCGAACAGACTTTCTCCAGGCTGCAGTGAGCCTCAGTCTGTCCCAGCCCAAGTGCCTCCATATGTGCTTCAGTTACAGCCCTGTGCCTGGTCACCACGCTGGACTCAACACCCCCATCACTCACACCACCCCCACATGATCAGAGCACACTCTTATGTGCCCCGCGACCGTGGAAAGTGTGATAAATATGATAAAAGTGCTGGCTTATCTCAATAAGTTTATAACTTAAATATTCCCTCCCTGAGTGTGTTCATGTGAGTTTGGACATTTGAAATCACCACTGATGCTGAAAAACATCAGTCACTCTCTCCCTCGCACTTTCACATGTCATAACATCCATCCCATACTGGCCATATTTGGAAGTTCAGAGGGAGTTTCTAACCAAATACATAGTAATTTTCTATGTAAATTGAATATAAATGAGTGTGAAGTGTTTGTAGCTGGATGTTTGTGAATTAGGCGCAACAGCCACTAAAGAAGGAATTTGGGACCTTAAGAACGCTTTGAGACTCTGACGCAAAGTTCTCTCAGCATCTTCTTAAAGTGGAAGTTACGCAAAAGTGTTAAGAAAAGATTAATTAATGATGCCCAATGTCTCTGGGTTAAACCTGCATTTGACCCGTCCCTCAGTGAGTCTGGGTTAAACCTGTCAGGAGCAGTGGGACCATCTCCAGATGTTGAACTAGTCTTGATCAGGACTGGAGGATTTGAGCTGTAGTGTGTGTTTTGTGTTGGCTCTCCAGACACAGCACAGTTACAGTAAATGTACCATAGATGGTTGGTAATGGTGTGCAGAGCGTACACAGAGCGTACACTATTAGACGCACGTAAACTCTCTGTCGTCTGTTTATGGAAACTTTTCACTGAGCTGGTTTCACATGATGTCACAGCCTCACGCTATTTGTTCTGTTTTTCAATTACCTCATAAACCTCATAAATATATTAAAGCTCGTTGCGCGTTGGACAACTCCATTTACAAAAACACTCTTAAGATAATAATATTTAAGATTTTACTTAAAAACAAAAATGCAATTCTCCATTTTTTAGGTTTAATATGTTACTTCATGGTTGAAAACATGGCATCACACTAAAGAATTCCACAGCATCCATGTAGTACGCTGGGCCAAAACTCCCCGAATGTACATATAATATAATGAATCTATAAGAAAACACCTTTATTTTACTGAAATTATGTTTAAAGTATCAGCGCTTGTAGCTTCTTACAAGCGTGGAGGACATGTGACAATGGCTTCTGAACGTTTTGATTACAAAAAGTGTCCAGATGAACCACCTCTGAGACCTTTTCTACAGCGAATCTATGGAACTGAACAAGTCTGAGCCAGAGAAGACACAGGGTCTGATGTGTAAACAGAACGTACCTGCTCTCACGCCCTCGTAGAAGTCATGGCCTCTCTGCACCAACAAGAAAAAGAAAACAAGAATGACATTTAAAGGTCCGATATTACACAAAATGGATTCTTGTGAGCTTTTAGCCAATAGCCATGTTAGAATGTAGTTACCTGGAGCTGTGTTTTGTTTCAGTCTACATCTGCAAAGCTCTACATACAGTCTATGGTTGTACTCTATAGAGGAAAATGTTTGCCTGGAATGTTCCACAGTTTTGTTAATTATCTGTAAATTCTATTACAGGCTTACAGAAGAATACTCGGTTTGGTGGAGACACCTTGTTACCAAGGAGAGAACCAAGTTTAATGACATTCTGTGGAATATTCCAGGCAAAAAGGTTTTAGACCCTCTAAACCTAAAAACATGTATACTGTATTTTTCGGACTATAAGTCGCTCCGGAATATAAGTCGCACCAGCCAAAAAATGCGTTTTGAAGAAGAAAAAAACTTATATAAGTCGCACTTTTTGGGGGAAATTCATTTTATAAATGCAGGGACCAGGAACAGACATTTTATCTTGAAAGGCAAGTTATAGCAATAACAATAGAACAGAGAACAACAGGCTGAATAGGCATCTGGTTTAGGGTTAGGGTAAGGTTTAAGGGTTTAAGGTTAAGGTAACATATTAACAGTTCTTCAAATAACTGTAGCATAAACAACAGAACATAAGTTTACCAAACCCAAATCACTAAATCCATTCAATCCATTGAAATCTTCATCCTCGGTGTCACTTCTGAGCAACTGAGGCAGCTTTGGTTGTCACTGTAGTCCAGGCTTTGTCATCCAATGACTTCCAGGAAAGTTGCATGGTGCACCCTCCCGGTTGTCGTGAAGCTGTGATCTCCATTCCCGCTTTCTGTCAGTCCCTCACAAGGTTCTTGCTCATTCCAAACTTTCTTTCTGCTGCTCAATTAGTATTTTCTGCTGCATTTAACTACTTGCAGCAGGACAGCGTCTTTTTCTGCCGGAGACATACGCAGAAAACTGACACAAGAGCCTAGAGCGCCCTCTCGCGACTGTCAGTCTGAAAATTTTAATATAGAAGTTGCACCAGAGTATAAGTCGCAGGAAACACCCAAACCGTGAAAAAAAGTGCGACATATAGCCTGAAAAATATAGTATTGCCCCTTTCAACAGCAGCCTGTCAGTGTGTGAAACGTACCATGCAGGCCTGAGAAAGCCTGTACTCCATTATCAGGACGTCCTTCAGACTGAGAGCGCCCCCTAGCTGCAGCTGCTTGAACGTCATCTTCAGAGAGGTGGGCGACATCCGTGACAGAGTCTAAAACACAAACACAACATTTGGACAAAAAATAAAGGAAAAGTCAAGTCTTGAGCTATAAAAAGGGTCAAAGAAGAGTAATAGTACTTGTCATAGTAGAAGAAGTTGTACTATTTTGTCAGTACTAACGATATGTCCCGGGGCAAGACATTTTGACCACATTGTATGAACATGTGGTGGTCAGAGGGTTTGCCCCAGAGCAGCTGTGGAGTGATTGAATAATGACTACAGTCTAGTGCTTTGATAGGCTTTATTATCACTAGTAGTAGGAGTAGTAGTAGTAGTAATAGCAGTAGTAGTGATAAATATTGATCATGACCATCACAAATATGGGACATTGTTTATTCTGATATTGAATATGAGCTGCATAGTAAATAGGACAAATGACCTGATGTATGACCATAAACTGGAAAAATCACCTCATTCTCTGAAACAGCCATTTTCAAGCATAAACAGAGACAGAGTGACGTATTAATATTTCATGTAGAAGAACAGAGTGAGGAAGAGCTACTGTGTTCACAATTGCTTTGGTCTAAGCCAAAACAGGACTAAACCAGGACCTGAAGTAGTTGTAAATCAGGTCTAGGCAGGGGCAGAATCCGGCACTGAGTCGGGTACCCACAAATAGTTGCTGAAACGGGTGTGTTTTAACATTCTGGAATTTTACGGGTGGTAGCGATAACACATGGGCGGGTCAGGTGAATCAAAGGAACGACAAATGGGAGAAAAATACTTGAAGAGCATCCAGGATGTCTGTTGCCCTGGAAACAAGTGACATTTCCTGGTCTTTTCCTGGAACAATGGACGAGGCTGAGAGAGTGACTTTAAACCCATCAGTGGAGGTGATCAGCGTGGCAGTTGTGCTCCTGGTTTAGTCCTGGTTTAGACATGGTTAGTCCTGGTTTAATCCTGGTTCAGTCCCGTTGTTGTCCTGCTGTTGTCCTGCTGTTGTCCTGTTGTTGTTGTTGTCCTGCTGTTGTCCTGCTGTTGTCCTGTTTTAGTCCTGTTTTAGTTGTTAGTCCTGCTGTTGTCCTGTTTTAGTCCTGTTTTGTCCTGTAGTCCTGTTGTAGTCCTGTTGTTAGTCCTGTTGTTGTCCTGTTGTTGTCCTGTTTTAGTCCTGCTGTTGTCCTCCTGTTGTCCTGTTGTTGTCCTGCTGTAGTCCTGCTGTTGTTGTCCTGGTTCAGTCCTGGCAATCGGCTCTGCGGTTGCAGCGTGTATATATTTATAATCCGCTACACGACAAGGCGTAGGTTTAGTTCCGGTTTAGTCCTGGACTACTGGCTGTCGGACCAATGGGCTGACTCTGATTTGTCATGGGCACGGGCGGGTAATGGGTGAAATGTTAACGGGTCTGGGCAGGTGTGAATTTAACTTTGAAATAATCACGGGTTAACAGGCGGGTCTGGTGCTGCACTGCACAGCTGCAAGTCTCCAAGAATGGATCCGTCCTGGACTCTGGCCAGGAGTCTTTCTGTTTTGGTGAGTAATTCACACATCACATGTGACGTGTAAATAGTGGCAACAACAAGGAAGGTCATTGAAGAGGGGCTTTAATTAATCTCTGTACTACTTTACTACTTCTGCTACTACTACCAACGCTGTACATTTACTGCTACAAGTACTAATACTGCTACTACTAGTTGTATTAGTGCAACAACAACTAAAACTACAACTAATACTACAACAACTAAAACTATTGCCCCTACTTCTACCACTGCTACATCAACTAAAAGTACTACTGCTAAGAAATCACTACTATGTAAATACAGCTGGACTTCCATGTTAGTTTGATAAAGAGCGTACCAAGAAAAACACTAACTTAATCCAGCTCTCAGAGTCACTGAGCCGATGAACACAGACACTGAGGTCTTTGAGTGACAGTTAACTCAATTTCATCATGGACAGGACCGGTAATGTTAGACTAATCTGTTTTAATTACACCGTTTCCATTGCACGCTCAAGTGGAAATGAGTGCTGCTAAATCAATAACAGATAGTGGGAGGGCAGCAGGGTTAACCCCAATCCAATCACAAGTTGAATGGATGCAATTCAAGGCTGTGATTTTTGTAGACCATAACTTCCTCCACAAACAACTAACTCTCCTGTCTTATTCTGCGTGTTTAAAATGTGAACTTTGAACACAATTATAAAACTGATTATAAAAACATAAAGCCATAGATACGGGTTAAAGATGCACAGTGTAACTTCCTTTCCATTTTTCCAAGATAAAAATAAATAAATATCATTACAGTGAAAGAGCTCGCATCTCCACAAACCTGACTCTTATTTGGCCTGTTACTGTACCTTTAGGAAGTGGTAGCAGAAATACTAGCAGTAGTAGTAGCAGTAGCAGCAGAAGCAGTAGCAGTAGTAGTAACAGTAGTATACCTCACCAGCCATAACCACATGCTTTGACAAAACTTAACAAAGAGAGTAAATCTGGAGCTGTATTCAGTATTAGTAGTAAGATAAGATAAGATAAAAGTACACCTAACTTGTACTCTGCATTTGACCCGTCCTTAAGTGTCTCTGGATTAAACCTGCATTTGACCCATCCCTCAGTGTCTCTCGATTAATTTTGCATTTGACTCATCCTTCAGTGTCTCTCACTTAAGCCTACATTTGACCCATCCCTCAGTGTCTCTGGGTTAAATCTGTCTTTGATCCGTCCCTCAGTCTCTTGATTAAACCTACATTTGGCCTATTCTTCAGTCTCTCTCGGTGAAACCTGCATTTGACCCATCCTTCAGTGTCTCTGGATTTCACCTACATTTGACCCATCCCTCAGTATCTTTGGGTTGAATCTGCATTTAATCCGTCCTTCAGTGTCTCTGGGTGAAACCTGCATTTGACCTGTTCTTCAGTGTCTCTGGATTAAACCTACACTCCCGCATCCCTCTGTGTTTTTGGATTAAGACTGCATTTGACTCATTCTTCAGGGTCTCACTTAAACCTGCATTTGCCCCATCCCACAGCGTCTCTGGCTTAAACCTGCATTTGCCCCATCCCTCAGCGTCTCTGGGTTAAACCTGCATTTGAGCCATCCTTCAGTGTCTCTGGGTGACCTATGGTGCATGTTTTAGTTGATGGAGGAAACTGGAACACGTGAAGGAAACCCACCCAGACACGGGGCGTTGAACCCGGAACCTTCTTGCTGTGAGCCACCCCGCGCTGCGTAGTAATAGTACACGTAATGATAATAACAAACCTACCTCAACCTGTTTTACTGCAAACTCTGAGCCGTCTGCTTTCAGATTGTGCACGATGCCCTCCACACTGTCGCCACTGAACAACCTAAGACACATTTACACACAGATATTTACACATTTACTCATCTGTCTATGTATCCAGGGGTGCAGCCTAACCAAGTAAAAGTAGTAAAGAACAGATACCTAAACTGTATACTTCAGTACATTTTACAGTAGATACTTCTGACTTTAATTTCACTACATTTCAGAGGAGGCATTTGTAATTTCTACTCCACAACATTTTAGAACAAGACTGAAAAGCAAATTATTTTTCATTATAGTTCAAGACCTGCTGAAAATTATTTGTAGTTTGAGCAAACAAAAATATACAAATAAAAACAGCTACGAAAAAACTGAAAAAATCACTACATTTTAAGTGTTATTAGATCTCAAAATCTGCATGAAATACTTTTACTCTTTAAGTACATTTTTAAACAGGTACTTTAATACTTTTTCATGTAACAGCAATAATAATAAAGCAGGATAATCCAAGTATGTATGAAGCAATAAATAGGAACACAATTTTCAACTCTCAGCTCAAATCTTTTCGTATTACAATTAAAATAATAAAAATCTCCCCATTATTGCGAAGAAAATGTACACTCGATAAATACTGAGCCCAAAATATATAGTCCCATCTGTCAAATACTGAAAGATAAGTGGATATAGTAATTATGGTGACAGGCCTACATATGGGTGCAGAACTTTAAATACCTGTTGATGTGGGCGAGGTGCTTTTCCAGGACGAACGGTTTGTCTGAGCCGGAGCTGCTCTGTGTAGAGGAAACACGGAGAGAAAAGCAACCAATCAGAATATACAGTACGTGACAGATAGTACTTTATTTGTCCCTTCCCTGTTGTATTGCTCACAGAATACTTTGAAAAAACATGTATTTGAATGGTGAATGGGCTTCTAACCTCCACAGATCTGACTTATAATATCTTGTAATTACATCGTGCACTAAGCAATCCTGTATAATTAAAAAGTTTCACACTAATGACGACTGTGTTCTTTGTTTTGTCACATAAAACTGCTTTAGATTTCATTTTGTGACCGAATAAATCCAGTCTGTTTTAAAATTGCTCTTGTTGGCTGGCACACTGAGCAATTTTTAGACTTTTCAAAATTTTGTGATTTTGACCAGCTATGAAGTGCAGCCTGAACAAATAAAAGGATGGAAGTTAAGGACTATTGGACTGTGTGATTTCAGCTGTTTTATTTTTCCTGTTTCCATGGAGACCCTTCTACATGCTACAGACATTTTACAAGAATGCAACGCTCTTTCTACATCAAATACGACAGAAGACGTTCCAGAAGGTTGCATGCTGTTATTTGGACACGCTGCTTTCCAACATGCTGCTATTCCGACATGTTGCCATATAGACATTGAGGAATTGTCAGAGTTGCGGCATAAACATTATTTTTCAAGAGTCCCACTCCTTCCACATTTTTTGTTTTCATTGTCGGAGGAGCGGCACCTTACTATTTTTCAAACATTCCGCTTTTCTGTCATGAATAATATTAATGTGATAGCCTGTTATATTTTGCGCTCCCATGTATCATAAGATGCTTGGGCCGGCGCAAAGTGCTTGATCAGAGAAAACTTCGGCCACATAGGCAGTAGGAAAATGTCCTAACTGCATTTTATAAAAGAGCACAGGCCAGCCTTCAGGAAAATAACAAATCTAAAGCAGAGGCTGCATGGGCCCTTTGTGCTTCATTCAAGTTCATTTCGCCAGCTCACCGAGAGCCCAGAACACACATTTGACTGCCTACATATGATGATGAAATTTGATACGCATTAGGCCCCTATTTCTTTTGGCCAAATCAATTCCATTTAGGTGGCTGCTGGCCAAGCTTGGCTACGCATTGCAATTTGGACACTCCACTTCTCCGCTACAGAACAGATAAGAAACTTTGCCTCCCTTTTATGTCCTCCACAGTATGACGTAAAAGGGAGATATTAGGCTGATAGAAGGGGGCAACGGGGCTGTAGGCATATGTTTAGATCTCAGGATGTCTCCCTTACTTAATGATAATTACTGTATTTTCCGGACTATTGACTATTATATCAACTAAATTTGAAAATGTTTTGAAAATTGTACATATATAGGCTGCACCTGAATATAAGCCGAAGGTGTCCAGGTCTTCAAGAACGTTTTCAAGTTCGGGCCATCTGCTTTTATTGTCTCTGAAAGCTTCTGTTGTCTTTTTGAGTCAGTTCGTCAAGTTGCAGTCGCAAAAATCTCACCATCGACTCACTGATGCCGAGCTCACGTGCAGCAGCTCTGTTTCCTTCTACAGACACATCGATCGGTGTTAACTTAAAAGCGGCATCATCTGTATTTCTTTGTGATGTATGAAGCGCAAAATAACACAATCAAACGAGCATCTTCCTTGGCGCTTCACTCCGTCTCTCCCCGTGCTCTACTGCACATGTCTCCTGCAGAAAGAGTCTCTGTTCTGTCTGTATCATGTCAGTGTCTTGGACGATTTCAGAAGATTTCAGACTCTCTCAGGGGCGGGGTTAGTTCTATCAATCAGGTATGAGTGGATGTCCAGCTACTGAAATTTGACACGTTTTTCTCGTCATTTACACACACGGGTAAGACGTATCCCCCTCATTAATGTTTATTTAGCATCAAAACTTAAAAGTGCGCTGACAATATCACTAGCTAGTGTAGCAACTTCATTTTAACCCATGTTCCATACGTTAATCACACAGACAGCGGCGTTTTCTGCACTCAGGCTTCACGTATCCACTGTGTTGCCAAACCATAGAGCATATATATGAAGGGACAAAGAATCTGTCCATATATTTACCACATTGTTTTATTAGCCACAGGGTTCAAAGTGTGAAAAAAAAAATTAGCGGCTTATAGTCCGGAATTTAAGGCATATTTGGAAAAAACCTACCTACCTATGGATCGATCTGCTCATTCAGCACCATGGACAGCAGCCTGAACATGCACAAGGTGATGTGTCGGAATAGCGATACTAAAAAGTGTTGAAAAACCGTCGTGTCTAACTAGAGGCATGTCGTAATACCTCCATGTCTAAATAGAGACATGTCGTAATGAAGGGATGTTGGAATAGGCGGCGAACCCCATTCCAGAAGAAACACACCAATGCCTGGACTTTACTGAGACGGTGAATAATAAGAGAGGCTCAGAATGCCTAAGAGAAGTAAGGAACAACTTTGGACCACTGCAAAATGTTTCAAATGAACTAGTTCACATTTTTAAGACAGTAAAAATCCGGTGCAACGTCTTTACTGTTCTAATTTTACATTTCTTCAAAACAATTTTAATATTTTTGCTCAATTTAAGATCCTATGTCCCAGAGGACATTTCTGCTTTTAGAAACATACGTGTTTGTGTGTCAATACTAGGGATAGGCATTCGATAAAATTTTATCAAATCGATTGTTGGGAGAATTAACAATCAATTTTCAATCAATCATTAACGTTTTTATATAATATATAGTATCAGCATTATTATTACTATTACTAATCTGCATAAATAAACTCAACTTTAAAACATATAAACCATAACCACATCAGCCCATTTGACATAATGTGTTAATGCAGCTTTGCACAAGTCTCACAGAAATGAAACTTAAAACCACATGGCTCATTTGCATAGACTAAGGAGGGAAAAAAAACAGCTCTTGTGCATTGATGCAGTTCAGCTTCTGTCAGACTAAAGGACACGACTCAGTGGAATGTAGGTGTTCGTTCTGTGACAGAGGGATGTTGAGGATGAAGGTGAGTCTGTTCTGTGTGTCGCGATGTTTTCATAGATCGTACACGTGCAGGTTTAGCGCAGCTCTTTATGTTGCAGTAACCGGGATACTGCGTTTACATGCACCATGACGAAACCTGGATACAGATGTGCATGTAAACACACTGAGTGGGACAGTGATCTCCAAGGAGGTGCCAGATCCCAAACGTGGGACTGAGGCAGCAACTCCAATTGCGCTGTCAGACGCAGCTTCGTATCTACGCACAAAAACCTACATTCGATTAGAAATGAACGTAATCGACAAAATTCTTAATGATCAATTATTCATTAGTCGACTAATCACGCCCATCCCTAGCCAATAGTAATGCTAACTTTTATTAAAACATTACAACATTTTATTTGTTGTAAGGATGAGCCTATTCTTTTTAGGTGTACAGGACATCCTCCCGCCGCCCCCCGTCACTGCCTCACCTGTCAGCATTTAGTGATTTTAGCATGACTCGGCAAAAACCTCACACATTACATTACAGAGAAATTGTGCAAACTGTTCCTGTGATTGGAACTCGCCACCTACCGAAGTGCACTCGCCAACTGCCCTCCGTGGACAAATAAACTCAAACTGATCGATTTGTTCTTACCTGGTTTTGATACGAGTCCAGCACTTTACTGATGTCTTCCACAGAGGGACACTGCACCAACTCCTGCTCCAAATCTGACATCTACAAGACAGAAGTCATGAAAGAGGTTGTGGGTTAGACTCCTAATCTCTCGGAGTGGAGTGCGCATGTCTTCTCTGTTGTTCCCCCGTCTCCTCCTCTCAGTAAGGAGGTTGGGGGTTAGACTCCTCACCTTGCCTGAGTCTACAAAGTGCGTGGCGACTCCGGCGCGATGCACGTCTCTTCCTTTGAGTCTGAATCCGGTTAGAGCCAAAAAGAGTCCCAGTTTTCCCTGCAGCCTGGGGAGAAAGTACCCTCCTCCTACGTCTGGGAACAAGCCTGGGAGAAACAGAAGAGCGGGGGCCACGTTCAAAATTCAAACTCAAACGGCTGCAAATAATAAACACAAAGGTTTCAGAGAAGTACAGTTAGATTTAGTCTTTATTAGAGTTTTTGTCGTCTCTTTTTGTGGAGCTTGAACCTGTATCAAGACCTGCACAGGTGCATTTCTGATCTGAACGAAATATAGTAAAACCAAAAACAAAAAAAACTCTTGCACAACATCACCCACCTCATAAACAATCATAAAGTTACTTAAAGGTGCACTGTGTAACTTTTGCTTGTCTCCATGGAGATGTCAATGCTTTGTCCAGAATGCTGCACAGCATGGCATTAAACTTGTCTATCTCCATGGAAACAAGCACGTGATACAGGCCAAGTTACAGGTCAGATCTGTGGAGAGGCGAGCCTGCTCTCTCATTAAGACGTATGCACTGTGATTAAGATGTAAGCCTGTTTTTAAAGTTTTTTTTTAAAAGCAGAACAGAGACGTGAGATGGATTTTTCACATCTGGTTAGTGATGGAATATCAGAGGCATTGTTTAAAAAGAGTCTGAGGAAGTGTTTGATATTTCACGGGAATGTTTGATAATCATTCAATTGTGGATGTTTCATTGTGTTTAAATCCATGTTTGAATTAAATGAATTTAATCCGTGGTGTTTAAATGTAATATTTTGTAAAAAAATTTTTTAAATGCACAGCGATAATGTTCGGTTTTTAATGTATTCAAAAGGTGGAGGCTTTTAGGTATTGGGTTTTTTTGCCTCTTCCAAGCACCTACTTTTTATTTATGTTATATGTGCAAAATAAATAAATAAATTCAGTTTAATGTCACTGTGGAACATTCCAGACAAAGCAATGACATCTCCATAGAAACAAGCAGATGACAAATCCCTGATAGAAGAGTTCCACAGTGTACAATATTGTTTCCCAAAGGGTGGTTTGCAAAAGATTTTTTTGGGGTCGTCGCAATCTGTGTGTAGGTCTGCAGTGGACTGGAACACTCTACAAAAATGCAGACAGGCCCACCTAGCTCATTAGAAATGTTGAATTGTTAAGACATGTTTGTATAATTTCTAATCTTGTTATTATTTTAATGACAAGAAACAAGCTACATTTAATGTGGAAATAAGCGACTTAAGGGGAGCTTTTATTGCTGGTTCAGTTACTGTTTTTCATTACTTAAAACTTGAGTAATACTAATTGTTCAGAGAGACACGATCACTCAGCCAAAAATAAAATATCCTCATTAATGTTCAGTAATGGTCAAATCCACCTTTATTTTGTTATTTGCGAATAATGTCTATTGACTAAGTGACTTTTAAAATATGGGTTCCCAGAAAAAAAAGTTTGGGAAACATTGGTGTATATGAATGAAAGATACAGTATGTACCTTTCAGGAGGTGGCATGTCACCTGTATGGAAATAGAAAGTTAAAACCATACTTGGAGATAGACACTTTTAATGCCATACTGTGGAACATCACAGCCAAAGGAACAACATTTCCAAACAAGCAGTAGGAGGCCAAATAAGAATCAGGCTTGTGGAGATAGAAGCCCGCTCAGTCCTTCTCAGTGCTATAAACACAACAAAACTGAATGAAAAACACACTTGTATTTAGTCTATTTTCTTGACTAAAAAGTTACATACTGTAATTTTAAAGAGCCTGCAATTTGTGTCCTAACCCAGTACAGATGTATTGTATAAGACTATAACCAATTCTGTGTTCTGTCTGCAGATAATTACCATATTTTTGGGACTAAAAGTTGCACTTTTTTTCATGGTTTGGGTGTTTCCTAAGACTTATTCTCCGGTGTGACTTATATATTAAAATGTTCACACTGACAGCTGCAAGAGGCTCTAGTCTTGTGTGTCAGTATCTGCTACTCCTGTTACTCCTGTACCACTGTCACTTCACTCTACTGCGCATGTGTCTGACTGCAAGTAGTGAAATATGCAGCCGAAAACGGTAATCGAGCAGCAGAAAGAAAGTTTGGAGTGAATGAGAAACTTGTGAGGGACTGACAGAAAGCGAGGATGGAGAACACAGCTTCACGGTAATCAGGAAGGTGCACCATGCAACTTTCCTGGAAGTCACTGGATGGATGGACAAAGCCTGGATTTCAGTGACAACTGAAACCATCCTGTCGGAATTCAGAAAGGCCGAAATAATTCTAACTGGAACTGATGACAGGTACTCAGTTGCTCAGAAGTGACACCGAGGATGAAGAATTAAAATGGATTTAGTGATTTGGAGTGAGATGGAGAGTTTGGTAAACTTGTTCTGTTCTGTTGCTATAGTTTATCTGAAGAACTGTTCATATGTGACGTTAACAGTCTGTTGTTCTCTGTTCTATTGTTATTACTAGAACTTGACTTTCAACATGAAATGTCAGTTCTTGGTCTCTGATTTTATAAATAAAATTTCACCCAGAAAGTGACTTAGTCCGGTGTGACTTATATGTTTTTTCTTCTTCATTATGCATTTTTTGGTTAGTGCGGCTTATACTCTAGAGCGACTTATAGTCCGAAAAATATGGTATAAGTGTTTTATTGTTTTGAATCAGGAAGTGCACAACAGCTCCCATGCTAGTTGTTTTTTGCTTTACTGAGACGGTGAATAATAAAGAGACTCAGAATGCCTAAGGGAAGTGAGGAACAACTCTGGCCCACTGCAAACTATTTCAAATGAACTAGTTCACGTTTTTTAAGACAGTAAAAATCCAGTACAGCGCCTTGAATGTTCTAATTTTACATTTCTTCAAAATAATTTAAATATTTTCTCTCAATTCAAGATCATATGCCCCAGTTTTAACCCCACTGAGATCTGTGTGAAACGGCTGTGGTAGAATCAGAAGTTTAAATATTACTCAGCGACGTATCATAAACAAATATTAGTCTTAGTGTTGAAAGGACGCAGCTGTCCTCGAACGCACCACAGCGATCTGTGGTGCGTTTGATCTTTGCACCAGTCCAAAGATTGGGCACATCTTCACACTCACTCGTGCTTTCTTTTCTTTTTGTTTCACAACTGTTAACAAAACGACTGATAGCAAATATTAAAGTCAGAATAAGTTAAAAATAGCCCTTTGCTTTCTGCTTTGCATTCTTGGCATTCCACGTATACAGAGAGGGAGAGAGAGACAGAGAGAGAGAGAAAGACAAAAGACTTAGAGACAGAGTGGGAGAGAGGAGGGAGACGGAGGGAGACAGAGAGACAGTGTAAATAGATAGAGGGGGAGAGAGGAGGGAGACACAGAGTGAGTGAGAGCAAGAGAGGCAGGAGAGAGGGAGAGAGAGAGAAAGAGAGGGAGGGAAGGAGAGAGAGGCAGGGAGAGAGAAAGTGAGGGAGACAGAGAGACAGTGACAGATAGAGGGGGAGAGAGAGAGAAAATGATAGATAATAGATAGAGAGGGAGAGAGGAAGGAGACAGAGAGGGAGAGCGACAGAGGCAGAGAGAGAGCCAGAGAGACAAATAAGAGTGATAGATAGATAGATAGATAGATAGACAGACAGACAGAGAGGGAGAGAGGAGGGAGACATAGAGAGACAGAGAGAGAGACAGAGAGAGGCAGAGAGACGAAGAGACAGGGAGAGGCAGAGAATGAGAGCAGGAGAGAGAGGGGAAGGGAGGGAGAGACAGAGCGAAGGAGAAAGGGGGGTATGAGGAGGAGGGGAAGAGAGGAGAAAAGAGAAACAGAAGAAGAGAGGAGGGAGAGAGAGGGGGGAGAGGGGCAGAAGAAGAGACAGAGACAGCACGGTGGAGGGGAGAAAGAGGAGAAGAGAGAAGGGGACGGAGAGCGAGGCAGAGAGAGAGAGAGAGAGAGAAAGAGGAGAAGATATGGGGAGAAGAGAAAGAGAAGAGAAAGAGAGGAGAAAGAGAAAGAAAGAGAGGAGAAAGAGAAACAACGAAGAGAGATGGGTAGAGGGAGAGGCAGAGGGAGAGAGAGAGAAAAAGATGAAGGGAGAAGGAGGAGAAAAAGAGGTAAAAAGAGGGTACGGGACAGAGAGAGAAGGAGGCAAGAAAGAGGGAGAAAGAGGAGCGTGTGTGAGTGAGATAGAGAGAGAGACAGAGAGGAAGCGGATTATGGTGACCTGATTCAGAGGAATGTAATATCATAAATGTGTGGGATTATTGTTCATTTGTGTTAATCTCGGCGCCCCGGGGACCTTTAGGTGTGGAGCCAAACAGCACATTTCACTAACACACTAAGAAGAAATTACAGCCGCAAGATTCATCGAAATTAAAGGTGCACTGTGTAACTTTTTTGGCAGAGAGTCCGTCAAATGCTTCTTTTCTCCACGGAGCTGTTATTACTTTGTCTGAAATGTTTTACAGTATGGGATTAAACCTTTCTATCTTCATGGAGACCAAACCAGGCCAAGTTACAGGTCAGATCTGTGGAGAGGCGACCCCGCTCACAGTCAGAATGCTTTTTCTAAATCGGTGCAAACATGTTCTGATGTGATTCTTGTGTTAGTGTCAGTTCAGATTTCAGTGTTTTTGTCCATTCTTCATGAGGTGTTTAAAATGTGAACTTTGAACAGAATCCTCTTCCTAAAATATAACTTGCAAATCTTTAATTGTGACTGTGTTTGCCAAAAAACCAAACAAAAAAAATAAATAAATAATCGCTGTAGAGGCAAAGATATTTCACTATAGTTTGCCTCCTGGCTGCTAAGTTTTAAGGGTTTCCCCAACGTGTACCTCCATAATCCACAGGTCCAAATATTGTGTTGAAGTTTCTTTACTGGCCCCTATGATCGCTTACCCTCATAACATAACACAATTCCACAATATCACAATATCACAATATACGCACAGTAGGGCTGAACGATTTTAAGAAAAAACTGAACTGCGATTTTTCTGGCAGATGTTGTGATTTCGATTTCATCCATGATTCTTTTCAAATCAAGTTTCAGTGCACACGAACATTTGCAAACATCACAGAAACTAAAAGGCTGTGATTGGTCCTCTCTACCACCTAACTACATACATGTCCAGTACTCCGCTTTCCTTTCTTTCAATACAAATTGAGTAATAATGTGTTTAATGCAGCTGTAGCGGCTTATTGACCAACCTTATAGCCGCTTGGGAAAGTCAGAGTGGGTCCTGGGGGTCGTAGTTTGTGACGCCCATGGGGGCTATTGTAAACTAATACGCTGGGATCCAGAATGCATTTTGTATATTTATTACCAGACATACAGCTGTCCCAGCGCAGCAAAGATGATGGATAGAACCAACTGGAAAATAAAGGGTGAATATAAAGAAAGAGTGGCGGTCAACAAAAATTATGGCTACCCAGCCCTGACCTTCAGTCAAAACTGAGTAACAGGTAAGAGCACACTTTTAAACCCTTCCACAGGTACACATGCACCTGCCCGCGGGAGCCCCGCCCCCTCTGCATTAGAGCAATACACCCATACCCTAAACCACACAGTGCACCCGTCCTGTCACCTACAGCAGCTTTGCTCACATGTTTTACAGAAACTAAACTTAAAACCACATGGCTCATTTGCATAAACTATAACCTCTAAAAAAAAACTGTTCGCTCCTTGTGCGCTGATGCGGTTCAGCTTCTGTCGAACTGAAGGACAAGACTAAGTGGAATATGAATGTTCTTTCTGTGACAGAGTATGTGCTGTTGATGGCGAGTCTGTTCTGTGCTTGTGTTGCGTTGGAAATGCTTCACGTTAAACTTTACATGAATGCCAGTTTTAAATCCTAGCCTCCTAGTGTTGTTATGGTAGTGAAATACTTCGCGGCGCATAGACCTCGACAGAATCAAATTGACTGTGACAAGGCAACGGCGGCAGTGTGCGTTGAGTGGATGCAGAACTAAACTTTGCCCTTAAATTGGACGTTAGGAGCACTGCAAAAAACCACGGCTTTGATGCTCCCAAAATCATGTTGTCTGAGATTGTGATTTTCGATCCAAAACGATAAGATAGTTCAGCCCTAAGGCACGGTAAGAAATAATGTACACAAACAGCACCTGTGTGACCAACATTTTGACTCTTACAAACACTATTCAATAATTTTCACAAATACCTTACAATTCACCTGCGCCATATCTCTACCCACTGCTCTGCACTTTCCAGTCTCCATGGGGCCTTATTCTGTGTTAAAGCTGCTCACGTTTTAGACCTCAGCAAACATGTTTCTGTATGTCAGATGTCCTTCATGTCTCTCCATGGGGTCTTAGTTGTAGTTTAGATCTGTACAAACGTGTTCTGAAATGTCACTGTGTTTGAGGTTATGTCAGATGCCCTCCCCGTGTCTCCACAGGCTCTATAACATTATATTTTTGTCTTTTTCCATCATCCGAGTTGTTTCTCACCGATCCCAGTCTCAGGCATCGCAAACAGTGTCTTCTCTGTGGCCACTCTGAAACGCCCGTGCACGGACAGCCCCACACCCTGAAAGAAAAAAAGAAAAACACATGTTAAGAATGAAGAGAAATATTAAAGCCGCACTGTGTAACATTTCTGGTGGAGAGTCGGGCGCCTGCTTCTCTCCATGGAGATAGTTTTGCTTGGAATATTCAATAGCATTGCCATCTTACATTTATTCAATTACAAGTGTGTTAGTTGCTCAAAAAACATGAAAAAACTGATAATGTTAAACACAAAATAACAGTAGTTTCATTATAGAGCAGCTTTAATGCAATTTTGGAGCATTTCTGCCATGTTATAAAGTTGTTCCCTCATCAAAAAACAAGTCTGAAAAGGAAAACGAAAATGTCAAAATGGATGTGTATGTATACGTTTGTATAATGTATGTGTAAGTGCGTTTTGGTGTTGCCAAAAAAACAAAAACAGAAAAAATAAATAAATAAAATATTAGCTTGGGTGGTCCTGCGACTTATATATTCAATTTTTCACACTGACAGCTGCGAGAGGGCACTCTAGGCTTGTGTATGAGTTTTCTGCGTATGTCTCCTGCAGAAAAAGCCACTGTTCCACTGCAAGTAGTGACATATGCAGCAGAAAACGGTAATTGAGCAACAGAAAGAAAGTTTGGAGTGAGCGAGAAACTTGTGAAGGATTGTCGGAAAGTGGGAATGGAGAACACAGCTTCACACCATGCAACTTTTCTGGAAGCTACTGGGTGACAAAGCCTGGACTTCAGTGACAACCAAAGTTGTGTGGAGTTGCTCAGAAGTGACACCGAGGATGAAGAATTCAATGATTATGTGATTTGGGGTGAGATCGAGAGTTTGGTAAACTTATGTTCTGTTGTTTATGCTATAGTTATCTGATAATATGTTACGTTAACATATTAACGCCTATTCAACCTGTTATTCTCTGTTCTGTTCTATTGTTTTTACTAGAACCTGCCTTTCAAGATGAAATGTCAGTTCCTGGTCTCTGATTGTATAAAATAAATTTCCCCCAAAAAGTGCGACTTATATATGTTTTTTTCTTCATTATCCGTTTTTTGGCTGGTGTGACTTACAGTCCGAAAAATACGGTAAAATGCAAATTTGATTTGATAGCCCTAAAATGTAAATACACACATGCAAACACTGCATTGAGAAACTCTGTACTATACCCCCTCCCCATCACTTCTTTTTATATATTTATTCTTCTTTTGTTGTTTGTTGTTGTTCTGTTTTTCTGTTATGTGTGTATGCGTGTTTGTTAAGTCTTATGCTTGTTTTGTTATTAAAGTGCTGTGTATTAAAATGAAAAAAATTATAAATAAAAAAAAAAAACGTGTCTGAAGAGGTTTTAGATATCTCCTATGCATGTTTGAGTAATCTAGTGTTCTCTCTTAGGCCCTATTCAAACCCTCTTTACGGTTAACTGTAAGATTCTGTACAAGGCTCCGCCCACAAGCCTACGTCACCCATGCTCCCACACGACAATTCTCCATAAATGTACGAAAACCTGTCACAAAACTATACACATTAGCGGGATGCGCGCCGATTGTAATGTAACCGAGCTCTGAAGGGGGAGCGACTTAGCGCAGAGAGCAAAGGACGGGGAGATGATTCGGTGGAATTCAGCATTTTCAAAACAATAAAAGGCAACACGGTGATCTAAATGTGTGATATGTTTTCAGTTAATACCCCGTAGAAGTGCAAAACCCTCTCTGTATACGTCTAGTTTAAAACTCGTCAGACTTCGTTTTAGTACTTTGAAGTAATTGTTGTATTTCTTGGGGATAGCTTTCATCCTCGTGTATATTTTCCAGAGCACAGGCTCGAGCCCTGAGACTTCCTGTATCTGTGTGGTTGTTTAAGTGCCCATAAAAGCAGAGGAGCAGTTCTGATGCGGGAGTCCTTATAAGTGAATGTGGGGGAGGGCTTACGTAAACACAACAGGACATGTTTACACACAGGGCACTACCACACTGGCACTGGGCTACAGGGGAAGAGAGAGACAGGGAGAGAAAGAGAAGAGAGAGAGAGAGAGAAAGGGGGGAACAAGAGTGGGAGAGAGAGAGAGGGGGGAGAGAGAGAGAAAAAGGAAGCGAAAGAGAGAGAAAGGGAGAGACAGAGAGGGGAAAGAGAGCGGGAGAGAGAGCGAGGAGAGAGTGAGGTGAGAGGGAGGGTGAGAGAGAGAAAGAAGGCAAAGAGAGGGGGAAAAAGAGAGAGGGGGCAGCGAGAAGTGAAGAGAAAAGTGGTGAAAGAGTATGAGAGAGACAGGGGGAGATAGATAGATACATAGACGGATATAGATAGATAGAAAGAGAGAGCGGGGGAGAAAGGAGAGAGAGAGGGAAAGGAGAGAGAGGGAGGAGAGAGAAATGGTGTGGGGGGAGAGAACAGGAGAGAGACAGGGGGGGAAAGTGAATGGGAGAGAGAGAAGAAAGAGAGAGAGAAAAGTGGTGAGAGAGAGGGTGAGAACGAGAAAGAGGGAGAGAGGCGGGGAAAGGAGAGAGTTGGAGAGAGAGAAAAAATGATGAGAGAATGAGAGGGGGGGAGAAAGAGAGAGACAGAGAGGGGAAAGAGAGCTGGAGAGAGCGCGAGGAAAGAGAGAGACAGAAATGGTGAGAGGGAGGGCGAGAGAGAGAAAGAGGGGAAAGAGAGGGGGAGAAAGAGAGAAAAGTTGTGAGAGTGTGAGAGAGAATGGGAGAGAGATGGTGAGAGAGAGAGGGAAAGAAAGGGAAACAGGGTGAGAGAGAGAAAGGGTTAGAGAGAGAGGCGGGAGCGAGAGAGAGGCAGGCTAAGAGAGAGGAAAGAAAGAGAAAGGGAGAACGAGAGACAGGGTGAGAGAGAGAAAGGATAAGAGAGAGAAAAAGGGTGATGGAGAGGGTAAAGAGAGGGTGAGACAGAGAGAGGAAAGAGAGGTGAGAGAAAGAGGAGCAGAGAGAGAGAGAGAGAGACAGAGACAGAAGAGAGAGCATTTTCACTGTTTCACGTTAATGGGAGCTGTTCTTATTTTAATTACATCTCCATTCGTGACATTTATTCATTTACAATTACTCCCTGACTTTTATAACTCTTGGCGTCACAGCTTCTCGTGCGGTGGGTGGGAAAAGTAAAGCATCTCCACTGTGCAAAATAACACAAAAATGTACCTAGAGCCTATGCGTATTTCTCTCTCGTGTTTACCCTCTGCTCTTATCTGGAAACAGGAAGTCTGCTGATGCGCAGATTAGAGCCCTCGCCGACGCCCCCTGCAGTTTCACTCTAGGGCTGCAGGGGGCGTGGCAGAAGCTCTCAAACCTGTCACGCGTCTCGGCGTGTCGGACTCAAACTGCGCTCACTGGACGACACCTGCAGGGGGAGTTCACGCAAAAACTATTATTTATCCTGAAAAAAAACAAAAAATATATTTAAATAAAGACAGATTTAACTTATGAATCATCGGTAAACTCTGACTTTTTACATATAGACCGACCGACTGAGACCAGGACTGGGACTGGGACCAGATCAAGACTGAAAACAGTTTAGTCCTGGTTTAGTCCTGGTTTAGTCCAGCATTGCAGTTTAAGACACGAAAACGGGAAACGGCCGCTATCCGTTTTTCCATTATTCATTTAAACACAAAATCGAAAACTGAAAAAACAAATCATTATCTCTTTTTCATTTTGGTTTTGGAGATAAATAATGAAGAAAGTGTTTTTTTTTTTTGTTTTTTTCTTTTTTTTTTTATTATATTATATTAAAAACAAATGAATGAATGATACACAGATATGGATGGATGGTTTGTGTATCCAATTATGTTTTTATTTTATTTTTCAGAGCTAATTATTTTAGTTTTGTCTTAATTTTGCGGAACTTTGATGGCATGTGGTCTTTTTTCTTGTTGATTTGGTTTTCATTAGATCCACGGAAAAAATAGTTTGTTACTGGTTATGAGACCCTTCCTTTAGTTTTGCCTTTTGACCAAATTTATTGGTTTAGACTTGATTTGCTAAAACAATTACACAATTTTGCTCAGGCCTTGCACTGTAATTTTACTCTTTATGTTTTATTCCTGTTAATTTGGTTCCTGATTTGACCCTTTTTCATGTTTTTTTTTCCTTTGGAGTGAAAATGGGTCAAAATTTCAAGTCAAGTTAATTTCAAGTCAAAAATGTTCACTCTTCAACTAATCTCAACAAATATTTCAATTTGGAGCATGACGTAGAAAGCAATTTGATAAATATGTTGGCGGTGTTCTGGTGAAATGTGTCCCCTGGGTTTTACAGTATAATATCCTTGTGTACAGAAAAAGCCGGAACTGTTACTGAACCTCAGCTGACTGGACCTCACCTCATGACATCATCAGGTGGGAATCCAGAAGCAAATATGTGTTTTGTCTACAAATATTTACATCAAACAATAACTATTTTATTACCATGTTACAACGTTGTTACTTCATCAAAAACACGCCTCATCCATGCATGTTTGAGTAATTTAGCAATCTCTCCTAGGCCCTGTTCAAACCCTCCTTACGGTTAGCTGTACGAGGCTCCGCCCACAAGCCTGCATCACCCAATTCTCCATAAATATACAAAAACAGGACACAAAACTGTACACAGCAGCTTCACAGACCCGATGCGATGTGCGTGCTGACTGTGTTGTGATAGCTCTCTGAAGGGGAAGTGACTTAGCACGGAGAGCAAGGGGAGCAAGGGAAGGGGTGACCGAGAGTGTTGAAAATGAAAATACCCCCATCTTTAAAGCTGCACAATAAGAATGCATTTTGTAGTATTTTGACATATGTGGATTTCTTTTTAGTCTTTCACATTTGATTAAGCATTAAATAAACTTTCATCCAGGAAGTTATTTTCAAAACGTTATTTTAAAACTCCTAAGCACAAGACAAACAGGAAATGAGAGTAACCCCGTGTACATTCCGCGTCTACGGATCCAGCCTCAGGGGACTCAGAGTTTATGGTAAAGAATGAGACATGCATCGTGCACATGGAGTAGTACTGTCGCAATACTACAATATCAAACTCCATTTCGATATTGATGAATCGACTTCATACTCAATACTGATTCTGATTAAAAAAAAAAAAAAAAAAAAAAAACACTCTTTATTTAGACAACAGAATGTGATTTTCAATATTAAATGGTAGAACTTTCTTTTCTATTCTGTGTAATTTCTCAGTGGTCCAGGTAGGTTCCACAGTGGTCCATGGGTGTATACTAGTCTATGAGCTCTTCTACACCTGTTCAAATGATATCTTGTTACAATACTAGTTTTAGTATTGATTAGTAGCTGATTTTCGATACTTATGGCAACACTAGGACAAATACTAAAATGAAGATATTTTTAGACACAAAACCAGTTCAAATTAAGATCATTATGTATAAAACTCCAGAAAAAAGCTCTTATTTGTTTCATATTCATCCAATCAGAAGCTGGGTTTGGGTCAGCCTCCAGAGCAGGAGACAGAGACACAGGAAACACTGACACCTGCTGGCCAACTGAGATGTAGCAATGAGTCACCCTTGTGACAGTTTAGCACTTGTGTGATAGTTTAGTCCAGGTTTAGTTCAGGTTTAGTTCAGGTTTAGTGCAGGTTTAGTGCAGGTTTAGTGCAGGTTTGGTCCTGGTTTGGTCCTGGTTTGGTCCCGGTTTGGTCCTGGTTTGGTCCTGGTTTGGTCCTTGTTTAGTCCAGGTTTAGTTCACGTTTAGTCCAGGCTTAGGCCTGGTTAAGCTCTTGCATTAGGATGTTATTGCTTTGCCTGAAATGTTCCACAATATGACATTAAAGGAATCTATTTTGCATTCATCTTATTACAAAAAACATGAATTATTACGTTAAGTTGTTATGCCTTTCCATAGATCTGACCCGTACCTTGGCCTGGTTGTGCCACCTACTTGTCTCCATGAAGATAAGCAGGTTTACTGCCGTACTGTGGAACATTCTAGGCAATGCAATAACATCTCCATGGAGACAATCAGGCAACAGAGCCTCCACTACAAAAGTTACATAGTGAGGCTTTAAAAACACACAGTACTCACCCCTCCCATAGTGATGCCATCGATCAGAGCAACATAAGGCTTTTTACAAGTTCCTGGAAGAAAGAAAAATATAATGCCACTTTACTTTGAAAGTATACCTAGTACACATTTATTTACAGAACGATTTTCAACTACCACAAACATGAACGTCTTTTTGAGACAGTTGCTTTATCTTGTGTGCATCTTCTTCACAATAATGGGGAAAAGTTCGTTATTTTAGTTTTTAAGTAACTTTTATGATGGTCAACTGGGATTATCCTGCTTTTTTTTATTGTATCAGTGGCATAAAGTAGTTTTACCACCATCGTTTATCGTTATATTTCTCTTTAGCAATGTATCGCGCTTCAAAATGTGTTATCACCAAAGGCCTACTGATGGTTATTGCCGCTTTAGATGAGAAATCAGTTACTACAACTAAATGAACTTTGTCACTGATGAAGACCTTTCAGGTGGAGGGTCGCCACTAGCACAGGTCCACTGAGATGTTATTGCTTTGATAGGAATGTTCCACAGTTTGGCTTTTAATGCATCTATTTTATACTTGTATATATATTGCAAGTGTTTTGCTTCTAAAAAAAAAACCCTTGAAAACCAAGGAATCTCATGACCAATATCACCTGGTTGTAAAATAATCCAGGCAAAGCAATAGCATCTCCATGGGGACCAGTAGGTGTCAGTACTTTCACCTGCTCAAATTTAAGATATTTCTCAAAGTTGCGTTGTGAAACTTTTCTGGTGGAGGGTCTGATAAATACTTTTCTCCATGGAGATGTCTGGAATGTTTGACAGTATGACATTAAACCTTTCTATCTTCATGGAGGCCAAACCAGACTATGTTACAGGTCAGATCTGAGGAGAAGCGAACCCGCTCAGTCAGAATCCCTGTTTTTCTAGGTATTTTTGAGCTATAAACCCACTTGTAACTGAACAAATGTAAGGTAGAGCTGTTTAATGTCACACTGTGGAACATTCCGGGCAAAGCAATGACATCTCCACAGAAACAAGCAGGTGACTGACCCCAAAACAAAAAGTTACATAGTGCACCTTTCAGTTGGTGGGATAATACCTGCTGTAAATATAAACTATAGTAATAAGAGAAGTTTGTGAAGAAAATTTGAAAAACATGTTGAAAGTTACATGAAGCAGAGTGTTCTAAAACATATGGAAGTAATTTAGTGCGCTTTTAAATATTTCATAAACAATAGCCATGTTTACATTTTTCTGGGTTAATGGATTGAGTTTCAAGATCATAAGGCCGATACTACAGATATGAGTTAAGCTCCTAATCTTACCGATGGCGTGGTTCAGGATGTACTCTTCCCTAAAGAAGTCTTCAGCCAGAGAATCTCCCACTTTTCCAGCCTCTGTCACAGCTGTAGACCACAACAAAACATGCACAATTATTCAAGCTTAAACCCAAGTGAAGTGAATGTAAAGTGCATTTGACAGGTTAAGGCCATCACACACTACAGGATTTTTTGGTCTTAAATGATTTTTAAAAGGTGCGACCAAAAGCACACACCACTGACATGAGGAGAATCTTATGAGACTGAAAATCTCCAGTCGAAATGTCTGCGGACAAAAGGCCTTAAAGGGCCCATCTCATGCAAAATAACTCTTTTCACATTGTATCTTCTGCACATACACAAGCACAATTTGGGTTTTGGAACATCCATTACACAACAGTTATGAAATCTTACTGATTTCTTGGAGATACTCACAGACCAGAAACTATGAAAGGCCGACTATTGCTCACCCCCCGCCCCGTCCTGAGAAAGCACAGGCTCCGCCCTAAAAAATGTGTCGTAGGCTCTAAGTGAGTCGCCCTTCGTCCTCCCATCTCAGGGAGGGAGGGGGAGACAGGCGTGCACCCTGATAGCGGTAGGAATAAACTTTTATTCATCACGGAGATACAGCGTGTTCAGCCGCATGTGTTGGACCCGGAATCGGACGAGGACTTTGAGGTGCATGAAGCGCAAGCACCACCTCAGCATCAGCTGAACATTACTGATTAGTAAAGTATTAATAAACGCCAGCAGATAAACTTATTATATCGTGTTCACTGCAGTGTAGAACAATGAGCTTATGCTGTCGCTTTTGTTTAAGTGTTCATGTGGGAATTGTCAGCCAATGCGAGGCGGAGGCGGTGGAGCGAGGGATGGGGGCGGGTGTGAAACGCTTTCTGCTACATCAAACGCATCATAGGTGTATCTGCCGCATCATCGTTGTAGCAGCTTTAGTTCGTTGTCACATGGGAGGGTGGCAGAAATACGCTGCAACTGGTTAAAAAAAAAGCCAAATCAATCTTAAAACCACTTCAGCGACATATACAAGGCCCACACATCACTCTTAGAAGGTAGATAGCTCTGAAAAATGTATTTTGCATGAGATGTGAGCACTTCTCACTTCAGCTGTTTCCGCTCTAGAGTAAAACCACTCGCTTTGAGACTCTTAAGTGTTCAAAAGATCAGAGCACTTCTAGTTTAGTTACAAGTCAAAACTGTGTTATTATTATATGTCAAATGTGGTGCAACATTTCAGATACATGATTTTTAAAGCACGGAAGTCTGGAGATGTCCACAGGAAGTACTACCACTAATCTGCAGCTTCACCGTGATCCGCACACTGCATGGACGGGAAACTACTCTTGCCTTTTTACTTTTAAAGAATGCCTCAAACTGGATTAAGAGCGATGTTTTGAAGACTGAGGGTCATTATTTGTGGAGGACAATTTCTAAGGATAATGTGGATGAGATGCTGCACTTTAAATTTACCACTTTACGAGAGGGGAATAATAAAGTCTTATTATTTTCGCTATACCTCAAGTTTGTGTATTGCGCCTGTCTGTGTCCGTCACCCCGTCTGCCCTTGTTGCCGTGGTTTGGTGGTTAAGATATGACAGATCTGATTAGTCACACTGACACCACACACATGAGGATCGCAGCGGCATCATAATCACACATGGATACACAAAGTCGGGCCATGCCTTCCCAAACTCAGGGAGAAGCATTTCAGTAAACATGGTTAACATAATGATAACATATAACATATTTAAAGAGCTTATATTAGGCAAAATGGACTCTTCTGAGCTTTAATCCATGTTACAATGTTGTTACCTCAACAAAAACATGGAGTTGCATTTTGTTTTATTCATACCATCTTTGTAAAGTATTGGAGAAGTGTGTATTGTGGATCCCAGAATATTTTTTATTTAATAGTTTCCCGCTTTTGTTCACAAACTGCCACTTTGATAAAACTTTGATAAATATTCTCCACACCTACTATCCCTCTGAATGAAGAAATAATTTGAAAACACGAAAACCTGTCAGATGCACTTTAAAACCCAGAGAAGTGAATGAGTAGTTTTATTTTGCCGTGTCACCTCTGATGTCTCCTCCAGCACAAAACGCCTTTCCTCCCTCAGCTTTGATGATCACCAGGTCCGTGTCGCTGTCTGCCTCCCATTTCTGCAACACACACACACACAACTGGGTCATTTCACATTTGGTGTGTTGCATTTTTGAAGAATTTGATCAAATATTGGCAAGGTCTTCAAAACGTCAGCAGTACTATTCCAGCTATGACGAGGCAGTGCACTGTTGTTCCATTCTTGGGCAAGACACTTCATCCACCTTGCCTAGTATGAATGTGGCATGTGGTTTACCCTGTTGCGCTTTGAACTCGGGATGGGCACGATTAGTTGACTAATCGATAATTGATCATTAAGAATTTTGTTGATCACGTTCAATTTTAATCGACAAACCAAATGTAGATTGCTGTGTGTAGTGTAAGGAGACGAGGCTGCGTCTGACAACACAAACACTGAAGTTGTGCCTCACAGTCCCACGTTTGGGCTCTGGCTCCTCCTTGAAGATCACTGTTCCACTCAATGAGTGTGGACATATACATGCACATCAGTATTCAGGTTATGCCTGGGTTTTTCTAGTATCCTTGTTGAGTCATGGGGCATGTATACGCAGTATCCTAGTTACTGCAACATAAAGTTGAGTGTGCATGTGTCCAAAAGACAAACAGTTGTCAGTCTTTTCATCACAACAGAACAGTAGCCAAAATTTTAAAAAAAGTGACCAGCATAAATAAATAAAGTGAGTAAAATGACATGAACCATCTCCAACGTTCCTTCAAGCACTGGCTTGAACCTCAACCCCTATTTGGAACACGGCTAGAGCGTTGGTTATGTCCCTTTATACACACAGTCTATGGTTTCACCTTGAGCTGTGGGTAAATGGTCCGGATCATGTTGAGGTTCAGGGCGTTGAGGACTTTGGGGCGGTTCATTGTGATGACTCCGGCCCGGCCCACTTTCTGCAGCAGCACCTCAGGGTCTGGCTGGGACGACATCTGAACAAAAGAAATGCCAGCATTTAAAAGTAGCAAGCCAACTTTTTTGTAAATTAAGGCTGTAGTCCTTCAGTCACTTATTCCTACAGTGTCATGGTGCTAAAATTTCAATACTGAGGAATAGATTCGATACTCGATACCAATTCCAATGCCATGAGGATATTAAAACCACAATTTCTTTAGGCAGTAGAATGTGATTTTCAACATTAAATAGTACTTTCCTTTCTATTCCCATGTGTCCTTATATCTGTGTAATCCCTCTGTGGTCCAGGTAGATTCCATAGTGCCCATGGGTGTATACTAGTTTATGTGCTCTTATACTTGTTCTGATACAACTCAACATTATTCTAAAGCTATTCAAGAAAGGTTCATTTCTGACCTTTGAATGGGACTTTTTTACTAAGGTTTGCCTTGTCATAGATCTGACATGCAACTTGGCCTGGTGACGTCACCTGCTTGTCTCCATAGAGATAGCTAAATTCAATGCCATATCGCGGAGCATTCCAGACAAAAAAACACCTCCATGGAGACAAATAGTTACTACCAGAAAAGTTACATATTTGTGAACCTTTATTAACATAATAGATTTTGTGATTTTAATAACCCCTCATTTTATTCAGAATTTCCAGTGAGTCTAATATTAAACCAGACTCATAGATGCATTTATCAGAAAAGATCCAACAGTTTAACAGGTTGTTATCGGTTGTTTACTTTTCTATGAGAGTTTTGCACTACTGGCACAAACATGGTGGATTTCTGTGGTAACTCTACATATTTCAACATCAAAGTTTATCGTGACTTCATATAAACAAATGTATTTAACATGTATTAAATGTAATCATTTCATAGTTTCTCACCATGTGGCTCTGGATTCTCTGCAGCCGGCATACACTCCTTAGTCTGTGGAAACAAACAGAATAATATGTCTAAGAATAGCAAATGTTTTGGCAGAGTCCTCCATTTCTCAGCTCAATCAGTGCTATATGATTTAAATGACATACTGTCTTTATACTATTGGTGGTTTTCAGTTTCTAGAAAGTGATGCTGTACTCCAGATTGGGGGTCAAAGCCAGATTTCCTTATTAATTACAATGTACTGTGCCATGAAATATTTTAGAGGTAAATGCAGAAATGTTGAATCTGATCATTTCTGTTAGTGACTAGACCCAAGAACTCATTGTATTACAATAGATATATGAATAATCTGAAACTCTTTAGTATGAAGAGGCAACTGCACAAAATGTGACTACACTGTCCTATCCAGTACAAGGCTGTCAGTTTGTAATAATAATAATTAAAACGATATAATTTGGGCAATATAATCTAAAGCAGCTCTACATACCAGCCCAAAAATATCGGAGGATTTATCGGCCATAGGTTGCTCTGGATTCTAAATAATTCTAAATAGTATCAAATAGGGATGGGACAAAATCTCGTGCCACAAGATCTCACGAGACAAAATTGCCACAAGATCGAGCACACATGAGAAAAATTATCTCGAAAGATTGTTTCCTCCTGAATTTCCCTTTGGCTTGGACTAAAAAAGAAGTCAAGAGCTGGTGAGTTATACAATTTGAGAAGCAGTAGTTCCAAAATGCAGCATGACAATGACCGCTAAGGTATTACACAGAATAAATAAAAATTGTGAAATGGATTGCAGAACTTATTTATTACAAATGATGTCAAAATCTTGTCTTGTCTTGTTCTCATGGACTCAATTTCTCAGTGTGTCTTGTCTCGTGAAAATTGTGTCTCGTTCCACTTCCAGTATCACATCAGCAAGACAGAGTTATCCCTATTGTTTACCTTGCATTTTTATTAGAGTTAACCAAAAGTAAAAGCCACAAATATGAAACCTGATCATTTGTGTACAAAAAAATCAAAATCTCTATGTTACAACAAAAATCTGCAATTAACAAAAGTATTTGCATTTGCATCATCTGAAGCCTTGCAAAACTAATTAAAGGGTGCGTTTAATCATATATACATTATTGCTCACTAATAACCATAGACAGTCAGTGTTGGGAAGGTTACTTTTAAAATGTATTCCCCTACAGATTACAGATTACATACCCCAAAATGTAGTTTGTAACATAATCCATTAAATTACTTAAAGTAAGTAACGTAATGAATACTTTGCATTACTTGGTTTGCTGTAGAGAAGCAAAGACCAGGATATCATAACATAAGAAATTTTGTCTGCTAAAAGATAATAAATAGCCCAGTCTTAACTTAACCAAATTAAAAATATTAGTGATAGAAGAGGAGGAGGAGACACGGTCCACACAGCATGGTTTAGTCCTGTTAAATCCTGTTTGAGACATAGTTTAGACCTGGTTTTAGAGCTGGTTTAGTACTGGTTTAGTCTTGGTTTAGTCCTGGTTTAGACCTGGTTTAGTCCTGGTTTAGTCTTGGTTTAGTCCTGGTTTAGACCTGGTTTAGACCTAGTTTAGACCTGGTTAAAGATCTGGTTTAGACCTGGTTTGGACCTAGTTTAGAAGTGGTTTTAGTCCTGGTTTAGTCCTGGTTTAGACCTAGTTTAGACCTGGTTAAGATCTGGTTTGGACCTCGGTTTAGACCTGGTTTAGTGTCCGGCAATGAGTGGAATTACCGAAAAAGAAAAGAAAAAAAAAAGGATATAGCCCAAAATGTGAAAACAAAAAAAAACCTCTGTGTAATCCATTCTGATTACGTAACTCTGGTACATGTAATCCGTTACTCCCCAACACTGTAGACAGTATATAGAATAACATCTACAAACTTATTTTACACAGATACAAATGCACGATATAGATGCAATAGGTTTATAAATACAGAATTATCAGACAAAAGTCATGGGTGTCGACAGCAAAATACTTTTACTTGTAATTTTTCTGGTGAAGGGTCCTTTGAACATTTTTCTCCATGGAGATGTTATTGATTTGTCTGGGATGTTTCACAGTATCGTATTAAACCTTCCTATCTTCATGGAAACCAAACCAAACCAAGTTACAGGTCAGATCTGTGGAGAGGCGACCCCGTTCACAGTCTGAATGAATGTTTTTCTAAGTATTTTTGAGCTATAAAACCATGTGTAATTGAATACATGTAAGGTACAGTGGTTTAAGGTCTTACTGTGGAACATTCCAGGCAGAGCAATGAAATCTCCATAGAAACAAGCAGGTGACGGATCAACCATCAAAAAGTTACAGAGTGCACCTTTAAAGAATGCACTTTAATAGGCTATTTGATTAGTCTAAGAACATGTGTGCATTTCATGGTGAATTACTATTGCACTAATAGTATGGATTCGTGTGAACTTGACCCGAAGTGTTACATAAACGTAGATATTTCATGCTTATGTTCTTCCCCCTGTCCATTCAAAGCAAGTGTCACCTCAATGAGCTAAAGCGGCTAACAGCTAACTCGCACATCGAACCTAAAAACGTGACTTTAGCGCAGATTTTCGGGGCGGATTGAGGGTTTGTGGACGTACCTGCAGGCGTGAGTCAGCACCGTGAGGGACATGGTTCACTTTGACCTGTTTCACGTGTCCACTGACCACTTTGGGCAGATTTTTTTTATTTTTTTTTATTCAGCGTTTACGAGTTTTGTTCCGGGATGTAGCCACGGAGCGCTCTGATTGGTCCATTCGGTTGCTGACGTCACAGTCTGAGTTCAACAACAGCGTCATCCAGTGTTCGTTAGTGAAACTTTTATGCTTGGAGTCTAGAAATGCCACAATAATACTACAAAATGATAAATTGTACAGAAGGAAGATACAGCAAATGAAGAGGAAAAAAATAAATAAATAAAACTGAGACATTTTAAAATAATTTAATAAGGCATTTAATGGGTAAAACTGGCCAAAAAGTGCATATTTTCTATTTTAATTTGACAGTTTAAGTTATTTGCTTTATTCTATTGCCATATTAGATATATTCACAATGAGATTCATTTTGTATATTTTAGTTAACTAGATCTGATCTGAGTTAAACGTTTAAAGTCTTAGATTACACAAAATGGACTCTTGTGAGCTTTAAGCCATGTTATAATATTGTTACTTCATCAAAAACAAACCTGGAGTTGTGGTTTGTTTCATTCACACGTTTGAGTAATCCTTTACCATTAGTCTGTCTACATCTCCAAAGCTGAAAATGCTCTGTTCCACCTTGTGATGTCATGCAGCATAGTTTTCAAGTGAATTACCACATGACCTCAGAAGATGGAACAGAGTCTTTGCATATGTTCAGCCAATCCAATGGAATTCCCAATCTCTACTGAACAAAAGCTTAAAGGTAGCTGTTAACTTGAAAACTACCACTTCATGACATCACAAGGTAGAACAGAGTATTTTGAGCTTTAGAAATGTAGACAGACTACTAATAAAGAGTTATTCAAACATGTGTGAATGAAACAAAACACAACTCCAGGTCTGTTTTTGATGAGTTAACAACATTAGAACATGATTTAAAGCCCAAAGTCTATTTTACGTAACATATGACCTGTTTTGTGATTAGGTTAACTATGTTCTTTTTTGTGTGCTTGATTGTAATTTGTATTGTGTTTTTTATAAGATTCCACTTCTTACATGGCATTTTTTTTTTCTGATTTCCCCTCACCCTTATGTAGCTTAATAGAACTTTGTGTATTGCCTTTTACTGACAAAAACACTGCAAACTTGAGATTATTTGGTTACGACTTTGGTTTTATGAAGGAGAAAGCAAATAAATGACTCATGACTTATATTTTGGAGTCCACACTGGTTAGTTAATGATTAAGCAGAGGTGGGAAGAGCAGCCAAAAACTGTAGTCAAGTAGCAGAGTAACATTATTTCAAAAAATATTACCCAAGAAATACAATTTTGTGGAGTTAAAACGTTTGAGGAAAAATTTGAGGAAACTACTACTCAAGTAAGAGCAACTTAAAGAGTAACTGACAAGCATGGTTTATACTTAATGTGAAATTGATGTAACTGGAAGGAGAAAACCGTAAATAATGCACAGGTCTGGTATTTTCACAGATAGACACAAAAATGACACAGGCTAAACACAAATGTTCAAATCATTTCATATTGTCACATAAAGCTTTTGTCATTTGGAGACTTAGAGAGGGAAGAGTAGTTTTTCTCAAGAGTGCTGTTACTTCAATAAACTAGAAAAGCACTCAGAGAGCGCAGACCTCCGCCAAGGACTACAGTCCCCCTCATATTAATTGTGTTTTCCATAAATATTTGTCTCGTATCTTTCAATTTGGAATATGAAAGAGGATCCCATTGTCCATCCCTGAGTCAAATTTCATGGGGTTTGGTCAATAATTAACCGAGATATTGAGAAACAAAATTTTTGGCCCCATTTACCACAATGTTAACTAAAATTTCAAAGTGATCCAGAATCCAGGATTTCTTCCGGATCACCCCCAAAATGAAATCAGTTCTTCCTTTTCACATTTCCAACAAATCCTGAAAATGTCATCAAAATCGGTCCATAACTTTTTGAGTTATGTTGCTAACAGACAAACAAACAAACAAACAGACAAACGCCGGCAAAAACATAACCTCCTTGGCGGAGGTAAAAATATCACTCAATAGTATGCTGATAGAAAAGTACTCTGAAAAGTACAATCCAGTAAATGTAACTGCCCACCTCTGCACATTAAGTAAAGTATTTATATTTATACAAGACACACGTTGGCCATTTATGTATTTATTTAGCATGCAGTAAAAACATGAAATGAATTAGACAGTGCTGTTGGATTCAAGCTAAATTAAATGTGTGAAGTTTTCAGGTCCAAAATCTTCAGTCTGAATCACTGCTGCAAGAACTGCTGGAGGACTGCAACAAAACAACAGGCAAATGTGTTAAAAGTCTTATAAGACATCAAATGGACTCTTGTGAGCTTTAAGACATTAGAATGCCGTTACCTCCTCTAAAACTGATCTGGGAGCTGTGTTTCATTCACACATGTTTGAGTAATCATTTATTATTAGTGTGTCTACGTTTCCAAAGCTCAAACTGCTCTTTTCCACCTTGTGATGTCATGAAGTGTTAGTTTCCTTTACCTTTAGTTCAGTAGAGCTTGGCAATTCCAGGTCTGAAATCATCCAAATGATTCTAGTGAAGGTGTATGGAGTTTAAAAACACAGTGGAGCACTTCCTGTATTACCACATGACATCACAAGGTGGAACAGAGTGTTTTCAGTTTGAGAGAAGAGCACTTCTTCTAGTGCGTTATCTGTGCACATGATACAGTCTGTGAGTGTTCGTCAACATGACTCACCCCGTGTCCAGTCTTCCCTTTCTTGTGGCATTTCCCATGTTTGTGTCCGTGCTTGTGCTTGTGCTTCTTCTTATGCCCGTGTCCGTGCCCGTGCTCGTGTGGTGGGCAGCCTCCATGGCCCCCGGGGTACCCGTGTCCTCCAGGAGGGTACCCGTGACCTCCAGCGGGATACCCAGGCTGGCCTGGATACCCGGGTCCAGCGTGCCCAGGGTATCCGGGCTGGCCTGGGTGTGGTCCGTGGGGGTTCGGGGGGCATTGTCCTGGAGGGTACTGAGGCGGGTACCCGCCTGGGCCCTGAGGAGGGTATCCCCCAGGGTAACCGGGGTACTGGTTTCCTGTGGGCACAGAGCAGACCGGCCATGTTAGGAGTCCAGTAAATATACAAACACAGTATCATGACAGTTTTGTTGTAGTAGAAGTAAAGTGCACTGTTTTTAACTGAAGCCACAGAACCAGTCACACTAATTTTGTCAACTTTTGCATCAGATGCCCTTCCTATTGTACCCATCCACTGTGACAGCAGTGAGAGAGGAGGCTCAAGGTCTTGGATGGATGTACTGACAGCACTGTTCATTTTGTCAACAAAACATGTATTATTTTATTTTTAACTAAATCTGAGGTGAAAATGACTTTTAGCTCATGGAGATCATACATCAGTTATGTGTGCTGTGTGTTGTGCTGTGTGTTGTGCTGTGTGTCGTGTGTGTGTCGTGTGTGTGTGTGTGTCGTGTGTGTGTCGTGTGTGTGTGTGTGTGCGTGTGTGTGTGTGTGTGCTGTGTGTCGTGTGTGTGTGTGTGTCGTGTGTGTGTGTGTGTCGTGTGTGTGTGTGTGTGTGCTGTGTGTGTGTGTGTGTCGTGTGTGTGCGTGTGTGTGTGTGTGTGTGTCGTGTGTGTGTGTGTGTGTGTGTGTGCTGTGTGTGCTGTGTGTCTGTGTGTCGTGTGTGTCATTTGAAGCACATGTGCTGATATAAAAGTCAACAGATGTGAGATGAAGAGAGTCGAGGGAGACACTCCTGAGCAGCAGAGCATCATGTTTCATCACAACAGATCACGTCCAATCAGCTGTCAGCACATCATGACCACACACATGTGACAGCACTGCATTTCCCATCATGCCTTTGTTTAGTTTTTCTTTTTAGTTTTCTTTATTTAATGAGGTTAGCTGACTCATTCTATGTAATTGACCTTAGCTATCAGCTGGTCTTTCCTGGAGATTTACATAGCATGTTTTCAGTTGCAGAAACCAGAGCGCCTGGAAGAAACCCATCCAGACACAGGGAGAAACACTAGGCAACCCAGTGTTCAAACCCATAACCTTCTTGTTGTGAGGCATGAGTGCTACCCACTCAGCCATCATGCCTTTGGGCTTTGTAGTCCATGAAAGACGGCTCATCTTAAACACACCTATTGTCTTTTAGAACTCTCCACTTCTTGTCATTTTCAAAACACTTTTCAGCTTTTCTTGACAAACTGCTTCTTGGTTTGTGTAAAACTCTTCTTACCACAACAACTTCAGTAAGAAATGGAGCATCATAAAGACCTGTCATATTCACTTTAGATGTGTGTTCTGTGGTACACGCCTGCAGTAAATCAAAGATTAATATTTAACCGTGAAGTATTCAGGTTATCTGATAACACAACGGACACACCAGACACGCCTCACACTGTTTGTATCGTCACAAAAGAAAACATTGTTGTAACTCAACAAGTACAATTTTGGTCTTAAATAAAATAAAAGAATAAAAAAAAAAACAAATGAATTCCAAGACTAATTAAGTGATGAATAAATGACTAAATCAATTTGTAATTTTTTTTTTTTTTGGTAAATTGATAAAGGAAATGCGATGGCAGAATTGCAAAATGTAAACACTTAAAGATGTGTGTCATTTCCCAGTTTGAGTCATTTATAAAACTGACATCCTTTGCTTGACTTAATGTTCTTTTTTTTTTTTTACCCCAGTCAAAATGTTATTCATCTGTCAGTTGTAATTCATTTACTTTAATAGAGTTTGCTAAGAAGTTTTCATAACACTCAAATACAATACTAATCACAAACCACATGAAACATGACACTGAGGTCAGCTGGCCCACGGCTGCCTCCATGTTTCTCTGCACTTTTTAATTTTTGAGCTTTTCAGCAGTTAAAGGTGCACTGCGTAACATTTCTGGTGGAGGATCTGCCACCTGCTTGTCTCCATGGAGATGTTATTGCTTTGTCTTGAATGTCCCACAGTATCGATTAAACCTGTCTATCACGAGGGAGACAAGTAGATCACAGTACTACACTACATTACAGTTCAGATCTGTGGAGAGGCGCCCCTATTCACAGAAGCAGTTATTGTATTTTTGAGCAATAGAAACACCCGTAATGAATAAATGCTAAATGGAAATGTTTAATGTCAAGTCACGTTTGACATTTTAGGTAAAGCGATAACATCTCGATGGAGACAAGCAGGTAGCAGACCCTCCACCTGGAAAAGTTACGCAGTGCAGCTTTAAATGTGCAGTTAACACTGGGCCTGCATGTTTTCAAATCAGTGAAAAAGCATCTGGTCTTACCTTGGTTTGGGTACATTTCAGTCACGGCGGATTCTGAAAGTATAAAAGATTTAACAGAAATTTACAAACAAATAAAAAAATAAATAAAAATCACGTCAATGTCACGTTATGTCAATTTCATTTTCAACAGAGTTCAGACTTACTGCTCTCTCAGTCAAATCCGGTGGACAGCAGCCCCAGGTCCTTCTTTTTATACCTCCACCCTTCCACCTCCGTCGCCATGGAGACTTCCCATAATGCTCTGGGGTGGGGCTTTCCCATGATGCTCCGGGGGTGGGTCTCTGTCTCCTCCTTGTGGAAGAATGCGGCATTTGGGTGTGGGTTTCTTCTGTACAATGGTTAACATAAAGTCATATAGATACTGATTATTTTATTGATTTTAATTGAATCATTATTTTACTGACTCATTAAAGCCACATTGTGTAACATTTTAGCTAAAAATTTACTAAAATAAAAGCTTTTTTAAAATGTTTGGGTGTGTTTATTGCACTGAAGAATGTATAAAAACGTGCATCCTTGCTGTGAGCAGGCTTGCATCTCCACAAACCTCAATCTTGCTCTACCTCCTGCTTGTTTCCATGGAAATGATGCTCCTTTAGCTGTAATCTTCCACAGTTTAAACGTATCTGTCCATGAGAATGTTCCGAAGTGTGGTTTTAACTTTCTGTTGAATCTTTAGTCTTGGATCTGCAACTCCAAACTCGACCAACAAGTAGAAAGTAGTGGTTCAAGAAATTACTCAAGAGTTTTAAAAGTATTTAGAGTAATTTTGGGGTAATATTTGAAGTTGACGTTCATGTAATTTGAAGGACAAAACATCCAAAACGACAAGTAAATTAAGAAACACAATTGTTCAAATCATTTCATATTGTCACGTGAAGCTTTTGTCACTTTAGACTTAGTCACAGTGGGAAGAGGAAGCACAACTTTTACTTAAGTACATGCACTGTTACTTCAATGCAAAAATGACTCAAGTAGGAGTAAATACATGCTCTGAAAAGTACTGTTTCTTTAAAACATTACTTAAGCAGGCCTAAGTGTAACTGAGTACTACCCACCTCTTTTTATTGTTGCCTCGACTTTCTTAGAAAACAGTTCAGAAACAAATAAAGCTGACACACTTTCTCATGTGTCTCATAAAGAAACGTTTTATTCGGAGCCGTGCGTGAGGTGTGCCGGCTCAAAGTCTCTACCTGCTCTCAGCGATATGAACGCTCAGATAAGAACAGAGCCAGAGCCAGGTCACACAAACAGGAAAAATCAAGTCACTCATTACGATAATTATGATAAGACGAAGACGAGGGAGACGCCTGGAAACACGCATGGAACTCAAACACTGAAGAATCTGTTCCAACTAAACCTGACAGATCTTATTTTGAGTTGGGTCTTTTTGACGCCGACGCACCTCCACAAAAGGCCTCGCGTCAAGAGCACAAGACCCCAGTTAAGGCAAGATGGGAGTCTGAATTAGGGTGTGCAAACGAGTATCTACAAATTCAGCGTCTATCATCAAACGTATTACACTCCACAAAGGTTAAGCCAGGAGTGTCGTCCTGTGATCTACAAAAATGAACAAAAATACCAGAGAGCTACTCATGTTTAGCTCTGGCAACTCTTACGTTCAGACTGCAGCCTGAAGTGACCCAAATCCGATTTTTTGGCCCCTATGTGACCTGTATCTGATCTTTTAATGATAATAATGATAATTTTTTCAAATGCGACCCAGGCCACTTCGATAAGTGGTCCAGTCTGAACGGCCAAAGCGCATTCATCCACCTACACGTTATCAACAAGCCACAAACGTCACTATTCTGCGCTGAAGCAAAAATTGTTAATGAACTCCGTGTCACTGAAGCGAAGCACATCACCACTCATCACTCTTGGCTACGTCTCCACATCCACACGTTCCTTTCAACGGACGTCACTTCCCCATAAAACGCCACGGCCAAAAACCTCATCCTTCTTCTTCTCAATCTCCTCCTTACAACAAGTAAGTTGTTCATGTTCTGGCTCCGGTACAAGAGGAACTTTAAAATCTCCAGGTGCTCAATGCTCGCATCCATGCTTGGACAACTTCCATAAACACAGAGCACGCTCACTGTGGTTGACGTCATCGTGTCTCCAGTGTCACATGTGGGACACTTTTGGGCCGTTTAATGTTCACACTGGAGTCACATACAAGTCACATTTAATTGGAAATGTGAACGACCTCGCAAAAACATCAGATTTCACAAAAAAATCAGAATTGAGCGTTAAGCCCTGCAGTCTGAACGTAGCCATAATCCATTATCCAGTTATTAGTGCACAGAGTTAGACATCAGAATGATACATTTACAGTGGTATTAGGTATTTTAATCAAATTTGAGCACAATACATATGGTTCTGAATCCCTTGGTGAGCTACTTAGAAGGGGGTGGAGAACTGCTGGTAGCTGCTGAGCTCCTGGTTGGAAAGCGCTGGGTTACGCAAATAAGGACATGGTATTTCAGACCCGTGTCGAAGATGTGACAAGTCCATTTGAAGTCTTGTGCACCTGCTTTGGAGTAAAACGCAGTCCTACAGGAACTATGTGATGAGGACACTTCTGATGTGTGGACAGTGTTAAGAGACTGAGCACAGGGTTTGGGTTTTGAGAGATGTTGCACATTTAGATTAACACGTGCTGAAAGATATTTTGTGTTATTCTGTGCATTCTAAAGAAGTGCAAAGCCTCTGCTCCTTCCAGTCAGACTAACTGGATTAACAAACTCTTATGTTACTGCACTCAAAAAGATCCTGTCTTTCCTGAGTCTAAAAGGGGAAGCAGTGCGGCTTTGAACAAATATGGACTCCTTTCTTCAATGTTTTGACAGGACTGGACTTTTAAAATTATTTTATGTGTGTAATATCAGTGACATGTTGGACTGCAGAGTGTGGAGAGAGTTTTTCTTTTGAAATATTTCCAAATTTCCAAAAATTTAAATTATTTTTTGAAAAAGGGGAGAATGTTTATAAGCTCTTTTCACAATTTTCAGAGAACAGTTTGACCTGATGGGAACAACTAACTAACACACTTCACACAATGCACACTTCCTGATTAATGTATGTAATGAAAAGTCCACTGATACATGGTCCCACAAACAGAACATAGTTCACTGGGATTTGACGGGCTGTCCAAGTGTGGTGTATGACACCTGTGGGTGGCGCCACAGGGCGAAGTGGGTGGTTGTACAGTGCCAGTTTTCTGTGGGTGCCAGGGTGTTAGTTGGGCACACGGTGTTTGTGGCAATTGATCCAACCTGGGTAAATATTGTTTTTATGCACTGATTGTGTTAATGATGTAGAAGTACATTTAGTATGGCAGGACTTTGTGATTTTAACGAGGACTTAAGTGAGTGCACGGCTGAGCTGGAATCACTGCCTGAACGTGGGAAGTTGACGCCACAGTGTTCATGTGTACAGATGCCTGATGTCCTTTATAAACTGTTCACAGTTTGTTTTTGTTTTAGTTAGTCTACTCGAGATTAAATCTTGTGCAAGCGGACTAACTATCTTTACTTTTTTTTATCTTACCATGTCGTGTTGTACCCCTGGGTCAGTTCCTGAGTTACATCCATTTAAAGTTTACTGGAATATCATATGACATCTGAACATAATGTGAGTGAATTTATTTGTGGTGTAGTTGCAGTGCGTTGCCGTGCATCTTGTGGGGCAGTGTGCAGTGTTCAGCGGCCTGGCCACCCGTATGAGGATTCTGGTCTCTTTTGAATTGTAACTTTAATAATATTAGTAAACAAATGAAAAAAGTATAAAATAAAAATAAAACATAACGAAACCTTGTGTTTAGTTACAGTACCTCAACAAAAACATTAGTTATTTCTGTTCAGTTGTTTTTTTTTTTTTTGTATTTTTACACATTGCTATTGTGATGCTCAGGCTGTAGTGATACAGTGTTGAAGTACCTATGTAGATACAAAATAATGCACAGCACTCAGCATTAAAATTGTCACTGACCATGGTATAACACTTTATAATTAAATGGAAACAGCACGCAGAGGTCTTATTTAGACCTCAAGAGCTGTTTATACGATGTACCTGTACTGTGGCAAGACACATTTTGCTTGTTAGATACATGGGCAAAAACTTTAACTTAACTTAAGTTCACTTTCTTCAAGCTGAATTAGGAGACTGGTTCCAGTGACCAAAAATCTGAATGAAATGTCAGCGTGTTATTGCCCCACAGAGATCTTCTGACATTTGAATGACATTTATGCAATACAGAACATATTACAAAATAAAAACACACATTTCCTGTTTTGTAATGTTGTACTGTCTCTATGGAGCAGACCTATTCTGAAAATCCCCCTTTTTTTTTTTTTTGAGATTTTAACTGTGTTATAGTAGTTTCCCTTCTCATTTACCCTTTAAAGGGGTATGGGGCGGGGTCTGGAGATATAAGGAAGTGTGTGACTGGTTGAACAGGTATTCACTCTTCAAACTCCGCCCCTGCAGCCGGGGGTTTGTATCAGAAACACCAGGCTGTGATCAGAGCAGTCCTGTGTGATGTCACCTACTACCAGTGTTCACTGGAGCCAGAACACACTTAGATTAAGGCATTTTTGAGTAGAAAACTACAAATGTATCTAGTCTGCACTAAAATGTCCAAAACATTACCAGGAACTGTAAATAATGTTATTAAAACACCATATACACTACCGGTCAAAAGTTTTAGAACACCACACTTTTTTCCATTTTTTTACTGTTTACTGTTGACCAAAACATCTTCTAAACTTTTGATTGATGAAAGTGTCCATCTTTGGCAACAAGAACAGCTGAACACACTCGTGGCTCGTTCTTTTTTACAACAGAAATCAAATATTCTTCAGAAAGTTCTTTCCAAGTCTGTTGCAAAAGTTTCTATAAGGGGTTTAAGTCTGGACACTGTGCTGCTGCTGGACACTCCATGTTTTCAAGCTTTACCGTCTTGTTCTTTTTTCCCGAGGTAGTTTTGGCAGAGCTTGGACTTGTGTTTTGTTATCTTTTTTTTTTAACCTGTGGCTATTCATTTCTTACCTTTGTACCTGTTGTGGATTCAGTTGTGGAAAATGTCCGAGCGATAATTTCAGTTTCAATGGCTTTACTGAAAAAATGCTGCCAGTGTCAAATAATTAATTTTTCTGTTCCAACTCATGATACTCTTGCAGACTATCTAACAACATATTTAACTGTTTATAACTGATAGTGGTCTTCTTCAGCTGAGTTTTTCAAAGACAGAATCCTTTATTAAAATACAGAGAACTAGCGCCATCTATGGGTGAAAATATCTGGTGTTACAACTTAAAGAAAATAATCCTTTTTCTGGTTTTAAATAACAAATGCATTGTATTGTATTTATCCAACTGTAATTTTAACTATAAAATAACAAATTAATTATTATTTTTTTTACATTTTTAAACTACATATTCAACACTACATTTCAAGCTTTTCACTGGACTTAAATGACTTGAATTGCAATAAATAACTGGAAAAATTAGAGTGTTCTAAAACGTTTGACCAGCAGCAGGGCCCTGCTGCTTCAGAGCCTCCAGCACAAAGAGACAGACCTGAAGAGGCTCCAACAGGAGGCCCAGGACATCAGACGCTCTGCCCAGACAGCAGTGCAGCGCAGCGGGGACAGCTTCACACAGATGGCCCTTCTCCTGGACAAAAGACGCTCTGAAGTGGAGCAGCAGATCCGCTCCCAGGAGCAGACCCAACTGAGCCGAGTCCAAGAGCTCCAGGACCAACTGCAGCAGGACGTGAGGGGGCTGAAGAGGAGCCTCTCTGAGCTGGACACACTGACCCTCACCCAGGATCATAACCAGTTTATACAGGTCTACACTTCACTGTCCCCACACACACAGAGCACAGAGACACACACCATTCACACAGGGGACTGGAGCTACTTTGAGAAAGTGACCAGAGCTGTGTCCAAGCTCAGAGACACACTCCAGCTCACTCTGAGTCCAGTCCAGGTTTTACTGGCACCAGCTGAACCCAGCTCCAGAGACGACTTCTTACAATATTCTACAGAAATCACTCTGGACCCAAACACACTTCACACCAAACTGTCTCTGTCTGATGGAAACAGAAGAGTAATACGTGTGAGTGAAGCACAGAGATGTCCAAAACACCCAGACAGATTTAGTTATGTGGTGGCAGGTCCTGAGCAGAGAGAGTCTGACTGGGTCGCTGTTACTGGGAGGTGGAGTGGAGCGGGATGTGGGCTCATGTATAGCAGTTTCATACAGAGATATTCAGAGGAAAGGAGACTCTAATGAATATGTGTTCGGACACAGTGATAAATCCTGGGCCTTACAGTGTGAATCTAACAGTTATTAATTTTGGTTTAACAACGTCAATTCTCAGGTCTCAGGTCCGGTCGGGTCCAGAATCGGGGTTTACCTGGACCACAGTGCAGGGGTTTCACTCAGCCTCTCTACGCTGGGCTCTGGATTTGTACTATTGAAGACACTGCACATTTCCATAAACTCAAATAGTAATTTTGTTTTCCACAGTTTGGGATCAAAGTTGTGTTTTGTTTTTTAAACTATTCAGATAAAATTCTCAAATTTTAAAACTAGAATTAAAGCAAGATATAAAAACAGGACAAAAATCATAATGCCAAAAATGTTTTTATTACTACTTACTACTACTACTACTACTACTACTACTACTACTACTACTGCTGCTACTGCTGCTGCTGCTGCTAAAGTCATATCTTCTCTAATCTCTACATATACATCAGACACTATTTTTGACAAATTTTACATAAACTTTTAATTCCAATGTTATTCTTCATGTTCTGTAACTGTACCCTTTGCTGTAAATTCAAAAGAGATTAGATCAAATCCAGGACTAAAGAGAAACTAAACCAGGACTAAAACAGGACTAGAACAGGACTTAACCAGGACTAAACTAAGATTAAACCAGGACTGAACTACGACTAAATGAGGATTAAAATTGCACTTAACCTGAACTAAAACAGGACTGAACCAGAACTAAAACAGGTCTAAATCAGGACTAAAACCTTACTGAACCAGGACTAAACTAAGACTAAACTAGGACTAAAGCATGACTAAACGAAAACTAAACCATAATTAAAACTGGACCAAACCAGCTCTTTGCCAGGACAAAACCCAATATAAACTATCACTAAACTAAGACTTAAACACTAAAATCTACTACTTCTGAACTTATATATTGTCTAATCTCTACATATTTAACATCAGACACTGTTTTGAAGTAACTTTATTTCAACTTTCATTACCCTTGTTGTTCCTCATGTAACTCAAACATGAAACTCGAGCAGTGATGGTGTGTGTGCTCTGTGTTTCTGTGTGTACATGGAACTGTGTTTTGTGTTGACTTGAATCAGAATTGTAAAAGTTGCTCAGGGCCACAGAATGGTTATATAATGATGAAGACAAACAGCACCATCTTTACACTGGAACATTTCAATCACAAATACATTCTGAAATCAATCTGTTTCATGTGTTTTCTTCTGTCTCAAAATCTAGAATTCATTGTAGAGTTGTAAAATATAGCATCAGTATTTACTACAAGTGGAGGCAGGGGGCGCCGTCTGAAATCTGTGAAACAAATGAGATCTAAACCAGGACTAAACCAGGACTAAACCTAGATACCCATTTCCAGATCTTTGGCGTGGTCAGAGGAGCTTAGCTGGAGGACTTCTGTGCATGTTTGTAGGAGATGGGACCATGTTGAAACTTTTGCTGAAATGAGGTTTCACAATGTCTTATGATTTCTACTGTGACATTTTAGTTTCTATTTATGGAAAAATGTAGAAGGAAGTGACACTGTATTGCAGATGAGAGGTTCACATGTTTGTCTAATGACTTCTTGGGTTGCTGGACAGTGCTTGTGGTAAATATGGGCCATAGATTTCTGTCAGTTGAGTGGTAATTTGGGAAGAGTTTTAGAAAAAAGTTTACAATTACAGGAAGTAGCATCCATCAGTACGACTTTATTTGTATCCCCACTTTAAGTGCAGAAAAAGAAAATGTTTGACATTTGTTTATTAGGAGTGTATGGTCCGAAACTTGGGTTAGCAGCTTTGAATGAAAAGGTATGGCATGTATATATATATATATATATATATACACATATACACACACACACACACACACACACACATATATATATATATATATATATATATATATATATATATATATATATATATATATATATATATAAATGTGTTTCTCACCTTCCACGGTGGTTGGTCTCTCACCCTCATTCAGCTCGGGTCGTCTACCAGAGGCCTGGGAGCTTGAGAGTTCTGCGCAGTATCTTTGCTGTTCCCAGTACTGCACTTTTCTGGACTGAGATGTCCGTTGTTTTTCCCGGTATCTGTTGTAGCCACTCTTCCAGTTTGGGGGTTACAGCCCCGAGTGCTCCGATCACCACAGGCACCACTGATGCCTTTACTTTCCAGGCTCTCTCCAGCTCTTCCTTGAGCCCCTGGTATTTCTCTAGCTTCTCGTGTTCCTTTTTCCTGATATTACCATCGCTTGGTATTGCGATGTCCAGTGTTGTGCAAGTTCACACTTTTCATGAACTAGTTCCAAGTTCAGTTCACACTTGTTCAAAATTAATAGTTCACGTTCATAGTTCACAATTTTTATTTTGAACTAGTTCAAAGTTCAGTTCATTTTATATTTAGGTGAGATCTGTAAATGAAAGGCTGCATTTATTTTAGACTAAACCAGGTCTAAATCAGGACTGAACCAGGTCTAAACCAGAACTGAACCAGGACTAAAAAAGAACTGAAACAGGACTGAACCAGGTCTAAACCAGGAATAAACCAAGACTAAAACAGGACTGAACCAAAATTGAACCAGGTCTAAACCAAGACTAAACCAGGACTGAACCAGAATTGAACCAGGTCTAAACTAGGACTGAATCAGGTCTAAACCAGAACTGAACCAGGACTAAACCAGGTCTAAACCAGAACTGAACCAGGACTAAACCAGGTCTAAACCAGAACTGAACCAGGACTAAACCAGGACTAAACCAAGACTAAACCAGGACCAAACCAGGACTAATCCTGGACTAGAACTTGGAATCTAGCACCGCCCCTGAGAGAACCCCGAGTGCGCTCGGGCGTCAGCTGCGTTTATCTCGGTGGAGCGCGGACTTGTGCGTCGGTCCTTTCGCTCAGGATCACGGTCTACGCGGGCGCACCTCCGGTGTTTCACCGCTGCTGATATCGCGGTGATTTTGGCAAATTTGTATGAAGAAAAACGAAAAACCCACCATTTCAATCCAGGTTAAAAAAGCATTGTGACGCGCGTTACTGACATATGTACCAAGTAAAATAATACGCGCGCGGAGCAGCACGTCCTGTGCGTGTAGATTTCAGAAAATAGGATCCATCCTATTTTTTGACGCTCTACACGAGCTGAGGCGCGTGTCTCCGTCAAAATCCACAGAGAGCATGTATCTATTGTTGTATTTGTGCATTTACCATCAGCACATTGTGCTCCCTGGGCAGTTGTGGATGATGTGAAAGAGCCCAGATCCACATACACTGTTCATTAGTGCTTTGAAATTTACTTTTGAAATCCTTGCGTTTGCCGTGGTCAGCCTGTACAGAAGGTAAATACAAGCAGCTAAACGCGCCCAGTCAAGTTTGATTGACTTCTCATTGAGAGACACAAGAGCCTGTATGTTCCGTTAAAGCTGCCGGTGGAGTCGCCTTCGCATTGACACGCGGCTGTGGTTTCGCGAGGTGAAGTGCGAGCAGATCGTCACTCGTCAAATTCCGATGTTTAACTGAACTCCAACAGTGACGTACGTCGTTCATCACACATAATTTGAACAAATTCACGTTCAAGTTCTTGATTTATAAAAGTGTTGCGTTCAGTTCAAAGTTCACTGAAAAATGAACGTGTTCAATGAACGCGTTCTTTTGAACTCGTTCATGCACAACACTGATGTACACTTTATTTCCTGCAACTGTTAAAATGAGGAAGTGTGTGGAATATTGGTTTTGTAAAGGGAGCTCACCAGAGGAAAAAGGTTGGAGAGCTCTGTTGTAGACTGGAGCGTTGTCATGTAGGTTCACCTCACAGCCCCCAGGGGTCAGCAGAACATTTCTTACGCAGCAATCATGTTCTCAAAGTGTCCTTGACTACTTCTGTTCTGTTATCTGTTCTGTTATCTCAAGTAAAATGCACGGTTTAGAGACACTGAGAAATTATACCTGACTGTAAATGAAGAAGAAATGAAGAATGGAACATGTCCTGCTGCTGGACAATCCTCATCAGAGTGTAGTGAGCCAAACGGGCCACCAAAAAATACAAGAAGACAATCAAATGTCACAACAGTGCATATCTATACATTTCTATCACTGTTTTCTGTACATCTCTTTTCTTTTCTCCCTTTTTTGGTTGACCTGTACAGCTGTTTACGTCCATGCATTTCAACATCTCTTTTTTGAGGGGGTCACCCAATGGGACACGATGATGACAATGAACGGACGTAGTCAATATGTGTATTTTTGTTATATCCCAGTGACAATACTAGAACAATTTTATGGCAGTCCATCAGAAATGGTCTAATCTAAATGTGATAGTTTTGAAAAAACAGTGTATGGATTGTAAATAAACCACAAACTATACAAGTATTACACAGTAGGTTTATTGTATTTTTCAGCTCTTCTTTTAGTCTGAAATGGTTTAATTAGTCAAAAATAGTCAAATATAGCCTATTTAATAATATAATTTTGTATATCTATCAATTTTCAATATTATTCATGTTTTAATAGCTGCATTCCTCATGCTAAGATGATAATTTGGTCTATTGTTAAAGGTGCATTGTGTAACTTTGCTCCATGTAGATGTTATTGTTTTGTCTGGAATGTTTCACAGTATGGCATTAAACCTTTGTATCATCACGGAGACCAAACCAGACCAAGTTACAGGTCAGATCTGTGGAAAGGTGATCCCACTCACAGTCAGAATGTCTGTTTTTGACTTATAAAAGCACCTGTAATTGAATGAATGTAAGTTAGATCTGTTTAATGTCATAGTGTGTAACATTTCAGGCCGAGCAGTGGCATAACCATAGAAACTAGCAGGTGACGGACCCCCCGCCAAAAACTTATACAGTGCATCTTTAAGGTAGGGTGACCAGACGTCCTTATTTACCCGGGACAGTCCCAGTTTTGAGCCTGTGTCCCCTGTCCCAGCACATTTATCCAAAACCAATGATTTGTTTCAGTTTTATACAAGAAATGTCCCAGTGTCCCTATTTTGGACCAATCTGATCCCTGTCAAAAGTAAAAAAGAGACAAACAAATACAAATAAATGAGCCTTGCTGGGCTTTCAGATGACACAGTGTTCTATAGGCCTGTATTATTTAACACAGATGAGGGGCTGATAAAACAGGTTTTTGTTGGAACACACCAAGTGAATGGGTCCA